GTGAATGACTGGTTGGTGGTTGACCTACCCCGGTTACCCCTCTGAAAAATATATGATAAACATGGTGATTCATTTTTTTATTACTCACCATGTTTATCATATTATTGATGATATTATCATATTATCATATAATAATATGCTTCTATATTATTGATGATATAATATTATATAATAGGAGGATAATTATCGAAACAGGGTTGCTGATTCACAGTATTACTCACTGCTAAAAGATCCCCCTGGATCCGCCGCATTACAGGACAACCCTGCAGCGCAGCAGGCGGCGCAGAATGTCATCACCTCTTTCGAGCGCCTCGGCGCGGTGGGAACGCCGTGTGGCGTATTTTGATCGGAGCGCAACCGCCAGGGAAAATGGTGGCAAAACGGTGGGAAAAGGGTGGGAAAATGGTGGGAGAATTGGGGAAACATGGTGGGAAAACATGGCGATTTTATGGATGGAACATCTGGATTTCAGCACATCACATGGATGTTAAAAAGGCATAAAAATGGGAGAAAACCAGCAAAGATTCGTGGATTTTAAGTGGGATTTCACCAGCGACTCATCTCCAACAATGCTGGGTTTCACCTGCTGAATCATGATGACCTCACTGACCTCACTGACCCCATTGACAAACCATGGGAGTTTCCACATGGAGGATCCTCAATTTCTGGATGGTTTATTTCATGGAAAATCCCATAAACCATTGACAAAAAATAGAAAACCTTAGAAATAATTGGTATTTTCTTGTATTGAAAAATCCCATTTGATAGTTTGTCATCCATAGAAATAATTTCTTGGTATTGACAAACCATAGATAGCCATAGTAACGGCCTTTTCGCAAACCATTGAATTTCCCTTAAATTCATGGTCCATTTTTCATTGATATAATCGTCCGTGAGGACATTTTATCATGAACCAGCCGCCGATAAAATACACCAAAACAATGGATATGGGGTATGCGGAAATCCTCAGAAATTTGAGGGGCATGGAGCATGAATCATTTATGGCCATACATCCTTCATAATAAGAATCAAAGATTCCCACTCCCATGGTTTATGGATTTTCTTGATTCCAAGGCCTGCCCTTGTAGTATTGCTCGGTGTCTCCCTGGAGCCTGAACGATGGGTTTTTCGGACTGCACATGGGACCAGCTTCTGAACGATAACTATTATAAACTTTAATCAATGGATAATAATTTTGCAATAATACCGGAATGGTAAGGGAATGGTTAATCACTTCAAATTTTATGGCTGGGTAAATCCACTATATGGTTTAATCTATGGTTTATCTATGGTTAATATATGGATAATCTATGGTAATCTATTATCAATATAATTTAATGAATTGCTACATAGGCTTTTTATTTTTTGGTAAACGTTTAAAATTTACAACCTGCTTATGACTTAAATTCGCTGGTTAAGTATGGATTAAATAGATGGTTTACCAATTATATAATAGCATGTGGATCTTTCCATCGAAACTGTTAGTAATAAACAGTGGGTCAAATTGAATTTAACATGAATGAACATATATTCATATATATTAACTATAATTACCCATGAGAAATATAGACCGTCGAAATTGATTTAGACATGTAAAATACTGTTAACAACTGTGCCAAACCATGTTTTGGAGTGGGAAAGGTTCACAAATGATTAAGTAATGTTAATTAAAGGATCAGTTGGTGTCAATACTTTGGCCATGGACCAAAAATTTGGATTTTAATTCCAAAAAAACAAATGTCAATTATCCGGGGTCTAACTCCAAACCACGTGGCCTTAGTCCAGTGGCACCCAATATGGCAGCAAGGATCCAAGCATGAAATCCAGTTACCCAATAAATCCTTTTTTCCATATACAATGATGTGTTTTGGTATGGAATATGTATATATATCTATATGATATATATATATGGTATATATATATATACATTATCAATCCATCTCACATTTCTGTTATGCAAAGTTAGCCTTTGGTTGGTCGGCTTGTGAAAACGACATGAAAACCCGCCGCCATTTGACTGAGTTTTTGCTTGACAGTTTCGATGCCAAGTCACCGCGGCAGGGGACGTTACGACGTCCACGAGCATCAGGGGAAATTATGTTTACAGTTAATCTATGGTTAATATAGCAACCTATGGTTAATTATGGAAGGCTAGGAAAATGACATATATATTTAATATTGGTTAATATCGGTTAATGGCTATGGACATGAATTGATATAATGAATTTGTGACATATATCATAATATAGATACCATTTAACAAAAAATGTTGATTGGTATCAGATCCCAAGGTGCCAATTGACAGGCCATGAAAAACAATGGATTGATTGAATGAAGATCCCCATCGTTTTTTCTTTGTCAAACCCATAAAATCACCAGATTTCATCTTGGGGATGAGACCAATATTGGAAATTTCCGTGATCCCACATGCCGACCTTTTTGAGGGGTGATTTCCGATATATTGGGAATGTGTGAAAATCATCCATACTATCCACTGGGATCATCATGTTTTACCACCATTTTGGTTTAACCCATAGGATCCATTTCCTCTGGTTATTAAATACATAAAATGGCCCATATTAGATGGTTTACCATGTTACCATATAATAGCATGGTGGATCTTTATGGGAAGTTCATGACCATAGTTCTCAAAGGAATTCCCCTGGGACACAATGGGGAGAATGGCAGGACACCATCATGCCATGAGCATTCGGACCCCGAAAACATCAACGATTTTTGTGTTTCCAAGTCTTCCTTGGTACCCTGTGGTAACATTTAACATTATGGAAATCACCATGTTTAGTAGGTAAACAATGGTAAACCCATGTTTTAGTCGGTATATACCTACCGGTATATGGTATATAAAACCATGTCTAGTAGGTAAAAAGCCATGTTTAGTACGTATATTCATGGTATAACATGGCTATTTCATGCTGTGGTAAAACATCCCAGATGGCATTGGCTTCCGCTTCTAAGGACGCACGAGGTTATGCAGCACGCAACGACTGGGCGAACGGTCCAAACACGGTTTTTCTCTTCGTGATGCGATCCTTTCGCGCGACCCGGCAGACGGTTGGGTGGGACATGGTGTTTTATGGTGTGAAACATATGGCGGTTTCCGAAGGATTTAGGGGGTACCCAAAACATCCAAGTTTTTTTGGATGTTCTCCATTTATATACAGTAGATTTACCTAAAATCATCCATATACAGTAGATTTTCCATGAAATCAAGCATCATTGGGGATCCCCAATGGAAAGCTGCCAAGAATTGGGCGCTTCATCCCAAATTGACGGCACAGCGAGGGTTTGACCGAGGATGGCACCTTTGGAAACTACGATGCATTTTATTTCATGGAGTTTGATGCTGCACCCTGGCAGACGTTGATGAAGTTGAGGATAGTGATGCCTTTTTGGTGTTGTCAGAAACTTGCGCAATGCACAGCCATAGATGTACTATAGATATGTAAGAAATCCCTGTTAACTATAGATATGTCTACCATAGACCATAGTTATCCCATGTCAACCTGGTGTTTCAGAAACCAGCTTGGTAACATAGTAGCTGGCGGCTGCTTGTACGAAAAGTTTTGGGAACCAACCCACCGATGGAGCGACAAGCATGGGGATGTGATCAATGCTTAAAGAACCTTACCCTCGGGTAAACATACATATATCGCTATTGAAGCCATGGCCATTGAAATAGTTGATTTACCCAGCTATAAAATGCTGGATCTTTCCAGTTCGTTTTGTTAACGTTTACCATTTCGGGCAAATTGGTTGTTGACCCAAGCGTCATAGCTAAACACTGCTAGCTTTGTGGGGTATCCTTTGGTAAACCTATTAAAATGGCCCTAATCGAAATAGATGGTTTACCTTGCTATAAAATGGTTATTTTCCAGTTCGCAAACTGTTAGTCGTTACCATTTAGGGTAATCCGATTAATGAAATGCGAAGCCGCCTCCATTTTCCCAGAAAAATTGGCCATTGAGGATGGGGGCCCATCCAAAAAAAGTTCAACAACCAAAAATAGGGCGTTTCCAGGCGGCTGGCATGGCCAGCTGCCAAGGTATGATGTGTTTTTATGGCCAGCTGTCTGAACATGGGGCATACCGGGCATAGCCATATACTTCTAGTATCATATCAAGGCCATTTAGTACCATAAGCTTTGACAACAATCGGTAAATTTCACAGGCTGATGGTGGCCCTTAGCATCCACCTTTAATAGGGATTTAAAAAAAAATGCGGATTTAACCATTGGGTATGATACTACAAGTTATTATTAACCTCTAATCCATTTACGTATCTAAATCCATTGGGAAAATGATGATTTAACCAATGGATTTAGCATCGAACTGAATGGGTCATTGTCCGTCGCTACGGAAATCACCAGAGGGGTATATATACTATCTATACCGATTGGTAAATATATATTTCCCAATATATAACATGATATATATATATATATAATACATATATATATATAATATCATGTTATATATTATATATTGGGATATATATATATAGGGAAATCTTTGAATTTGATGGCCCAATGAATCAGCTCTGGGACTTTGAAGTACTTTGATTTGTGATCCATCAAGGCAGTTTTTGCCTATGTAGCAACCCCCAAATAGGTAGAACAGTTGGACACATGGAAATTATGAAGGACATATCATCTGGGTATATTTCTTAACGACCTCACGTCGCGGCGGAAACCTGGAAATCATGGTGTATTTATGGGAAATCATCCCCATAGCTGGCTTTAATTCAGGTTGGTGAATTATTATAATTTACCCAGGTGAGGAGAAGCCCAAGAAGAGGAAGAGGAACAGGCCAGGACATCGCGGGGGAGCCAAACATCAACGGCTTTACCGTGCAGCAGACGATCCATTCAAGAGGTTCCATTACAAGAAACCTGACGAGTTCTGGGACGCAAGACCTGAGCTCCGCTGAAAGGATCAATGGCGACAGAAAGAGAGTTGAGGGAAGAAGCGGAAGAAGGAGAGATGAGAGAGGAGGCAGCGCCTCCTGTTGTTACAGGCATTACGGAAGGAGAAGAGGTTATTTCAGGCACAGAGCGGTTTGCTTTGTTCAATCCCAGGGCTGGGCTGGTGCTGGAAGTCTGCTTGGCAGGCAGTTCCGCAGGTGTTGCACCACCCGAAGAATGGTTTGCCCTGGGTATCTTGGAGGCTGTTGGAAGCCCATCAGCCGGTTGGAGGATTGTCGGAAACTATCTGGGGTGCGAGAACGGAGACCTTACCGAAGAAGTCATGGGCACTTTGCAAGAGGGGTTCATCCACGTTTGCGGAGAGGACCCTTGTTCCGCTGCTGTCGACCCCCCGTGCATTCATGCCACCAGAGTAAGGCTATGGAGAGCCACGAAATTCAAGTGTGGCTACCTTATGCGTGGGGCTGCGTCTGCCTTGAAAGCCATGGCGCTGGAAGAGCGCGCTGCCGTGGCTCGGGTATCCCAGAAGTCTCAACCCCCAGGGCAGAAACGGCCTGGTACGGGTCGGACAAAACCAGCGGGAAAAGGGCGCGGAACCACAGCGCGCGCCCCTCGCAAGAGACCAGCCGCAGCTGCCGACGAGGGAGTAATCCCAATTCCTTCGGATGGAGAGGCAGCAGAGGGAGATGCTGGCCTGGACGCAACTCAGGGTGCTGGCGTGCGCCGAGCAGCCCTTCGAGAGCGACTGCAATTGACGAAGGAAAGAATACTTGGGGGGGCCACACCTCGGAGAGCTTCAAGACGAGACGTGGATTTGACTGGTGGTCCAACACCCGCTCTTACAGGACGTGCAGCGGAGTCGTCAGCATTGGTAGCCGGCACATCCTTGAGGCCGGGGAGGCAGACCCCCTTGATGCTCGAGCAGTCGGCGGATTTAAGCGGCGGTGGAGCGAATCCCTTGAAGAAGAGACTTGCTGGCGAGAGGGGTGCTTCAGGCGCTTTGCTGGCGAAAGCCGTGCAACAATCAGCGCTGGATGCAAAAGATCGCAAGAGGAAGAAGCGCAAGAAGGATCGGAAGGATGGCGTGAAGCAGTTGCTCAGGCTGCTGCAGGGAAAAGACAAACGCCGAGGCAAGGGAGTGAATGCGAGGAACAAGAGAAGGGGACGAAAGGACCCTATGGTGAAGCTGGACCCCGACGATCCGGGATATTCAGGATCAAGTGGTGGCGACTCAGACAGCTACTACAGCGACAGCCAAGAAGATGGGGAAGAAAGCGGGGCAGAGACCGAGCTGGAGATGGAGGCCCCCCTCAAAAGGAAGTCCTCCAAGGAACCCGGGTCAGTAATGGCCATGCTCGTTCGACACGCCCAGGAGCAGTTGGATCGAGGTGCATTGCTCGACGGCCAGGGAGATCGTGCCGGCCTGACCACGGGGATAAAAATCTCCACCTTCTTTGCCCTGCTCATCAGACCTTACCATTCCCCTTCGAGCCCGTTGCTGAGGGAGCTCTACGCACTCGCACAAGCGATAGACTTATTGAGGATGGGAAGACTCCCAGAGACCGCGGATGCATTGGCATCGCGGTTCATCGCTGTCCACACGGCGATGACCGAGGGAAACTGGCAGGCAGCGAGCCAGTTGGAGATCTTCCCATTGGAGCCTGTACAATCAGCGACGACAGCAACTATGCTGGAGGCGCACAAACACAGGCGGCTGATCCTCAAGAGCCAGGGCTTCTCAAGCGGCAATCGGTGGTGGTCGAACGCAGGCCGGGGCAAGGGCAGCCCAGGTCAGGAGAAAGGAAAGAAGGGAGACGGCCGAGGCAAAGGAAAAGGAAAGGGCAAACCGCAGAACAAGGACTGGGGAGCAAAAGGAGACGGCAATGCCTGGAAGGACAACAAGGAGGACGCGGGGAAGAAGACGTGACTGACCCCGCGGTGCTGGTTTCACCGAATGCATTGCAGGATGCTGGACTGAGCGGGAGGCTGGATCATGCCTTGCCCCTGCCACGCCAGTTCGGGGATGGAGTTTCAATGTTTAGGCATTTGGCTGGACTGTGCTCTAACTTTGATAGCACAGGACGGGCCATGGCCTAGATGCTTTTTAACATGCCCCGCTTGGCGTTGGAAGGGGAGCTGTGTACCGATGCTTCCTTGATGATTTTTGGGAAGGCCAAGGTAAACTTCGCCATGCACCGAGGCCCTGTCCCTAGACATAGGCCTCTTTTCCCACTCCCCTTGGGAGATTTTGACAAGATCAAACAGCTGGCTAAACATGCCGTGCTGGATGATTTCTTGAGCCCGCATTTTGCAGGGCTCCAGGCAGAAGAGGTGTGGTCTGCACTTGCAGTGCTGGGCCTAAACGGCGCTGCTGGCTATGGCCGTGCAGACCTCTGTAGGAGAGCGACCGAGCTGCAGAAGACAGCACTAGGATGTATTAGGCAGAGCACCAAACGTGTGCTGTCTTCTAAGGTTCACTTGGAGCGGTCCGCAGAAGCTGCTGAAAAAGAGCTTTCAACCCGGTTCTTAACCTACACTGGGGAGGAAGTACCAAAGATGCAGGTACTTTCAGTAAAGGCTGCAAAACCAGCATTGCCCCCAAGCACCCATGGGGGGTCTATTGATGCTAGGTCCCTGGTTTCAGATGGAACGCGATGGTTTTTAGAACACCCTGAGGAATCCCTGGTTGACCACCCAAAGGCTCAGGTGAAGCTGCAAGCTAAGGTCCATATCGCCCCAAATGAAGCGCTGGAATTCTGTCAGTTATTGGTTGAAAGAAAAATCTGTACTTGGGTTTTAGATGATGATGTCTTGGAAGTTTCTGGACAGAAGGTTCTCAACGGGTTATTTGCAGTAGGCAAAGGGTCCTTTGTCGAGAACTCTGACATCGAGCTTCAACGTACAATCATGAACCTTATCCCAACTAACTCAGTTTTCAAACAAAGTCACGGGGGAACAAATGACCTCCCTAACATCTGTCAGTACCTTTCATTGGTTCTTCATGGGGATGAATGCCTACGTTATTTTCAATCCGATATGTCGTCTGCATTCTACCTTTTTAGGATTCCTTTGTGTTGGTCAAGGATGATGGCTTTTAATATCTCCTTCAAAGGGGAGGAACTGGGTCTTCAGAAGGGGTTGGTTTATCGGCCGGGTTGTGCCGTCATCCCCATGGGATGGGGCTCCGCAGTTTCAGTAATGCAGGAGCTGGCTGACCGCTTGACTGTGTTGGCACGTCTTCCGGCTCAACATCAGGTTAGAAGACAGGCCCCTTTGCCACCATGGATGACGGAGGTCTTCGATGCCTCGAGCGCTGAGGGGCGCCCGTGGTACCATGTCTATCTTGACAATTTTTGCGCCATGGAGAAAGGGCCTCAGGGATTTAACGCTGGTGCTGGTGAAGCCATGCATCAGGCCCTTGAAGACTCTTGGCAGCGTACAGGCGTGCTTTCGTCCGCCAAGAAGAAAGTGGTGGCGGCCCCGACGGTGCAGGAGCTTGGCGCCGAGCTACAAGGAGACGAAGGAACTATGGGGCCCAGTGGACTACGGGTGCTGAAGTTAATTCAGAGCACTCTGGTGGCACTGTCTACGAAACGCTTGAAGCGCAAATGGATCCAGGTCATTGCTGGACGATGGGTTCATTGCATGTCGTTTCGTCGGCCTACTATGGTCTGTCTGGATGCGACTTGGCAGTTCATTGGGGGAAAACGATGTGGAACTCAGCAAGAAGCAAAAGTCCGAGGAGAACTGTTTGGGTGCTGCTGTATTGCGCTGCTCATCCACAGCAACTTGAAGGCGAACGTGAGCTCAGTGACGACTGCAAGCGATGCCTCCACCACAGGAGGTGCAGTTGGAAGAAGTCAGGAACTCACCTTGGCTGGGTCTCAGTTTGCTGGTGCAGACCGTGCAAACCTGGTAGGAGGAAAGGTAGTTCCGATCATGGTGCTGTCCCTTTTCAACGGGATTGGCTGCTGCTTTCGTTGTTATGACTTGATTGGCATCATGCCGCTAGTGGCCATCTCGTATGAGCTGAATCAGGCGGCAAATCGAGTCACCAGTCGCCGGTGGCCCAATGTTCGACTGGAAAAAGATGTCAGAGACTTGACCATTGAAGTCATCCGAGAGTGGAGGTATCTGTACCCAACACTTGAAGAAATCCATGTCTGGGGTGGCTTCCCATGTGTCGGGCTGTCATCTGTACGTGCCGGACGCCTAAACTTGGACGATCCTCAGAGCGGACTTTTCTGGGAGTTTGTGAGGATTATCAAGGAGATCAAGCAGGTCTTCGGCCTGCGTTTCAGGGTCCTCTTTGCAGCAGAGAATGTGGCCAGTATGGACATTAGCGCTGAGGCTGAGATCACTCGGGCCTTGGGTGTGAAACCATACCGGCTGGACCCAGCCGGAGCTGTCCCAATTCACCGGCCCCGCTTCTGCTGGTCCAACATGGATCTTGCACCTATGGAGGGAGTCGATGTGGTTGAAAAAGAGCGGTGGTATCAAGTGGACATCGAATACCCCTACCCTGAACTTGGACAATGGTTAGAAGAGGGTGCCTCATGGCCAGGTTTTGAACAGGGGACAATTTTACCCACTTGCATGAAATGTATCAAGCGGACACGTCCGCCCTTAGCTCCCGCGGGCATTGACAGAGTTAGCCAAGATGGTAAGTTGCGTTGGGCTGCGGACGACTTCAAATTCCCACCATATCAATATGATGATCGGTTTGTCATTTGGGTCAATCAAAAATGGAGGCTGATTAACGCCACTGAACGGGAATTGTTGCATGGGTTGGGGTTCGAACACACCATCCTTTGTTGGAATGCCGGCGACATCAAAAGGGATCCCCAGGGCTTTGAAGATCAACGAAAGACTTTGGTTGGTGACTCGTTTAGCTGCTACACCTTTGTTTTTATTGCCGCTCAATTGTGTGGTCAATGGATTTCAATGCCTGCTTATTCACAACTGGCACAAAGAATGGGTATGGCCCCGGGGTTTTCCTGTCCAATTGATATTAGGATTCCACTTCAAAGGGGACTGGCCTATAGCTCTTCCTCCGTGCAACTCCCTGTTCAGTGCCTTCACTCATCCTTACTCCGCCGGGTTAACCACACTGGTTCAGATGTGCGTATCTCAACGGGAACTTTGATGAACCCCCGAAATTTCCCTCATCAATCCGCAGCCGCTAACTGGTGGAAGTGGTCCAAAGTGTTTGCATACAAATGGTCACGGTGGGATCATATCAACAACCTTGAAGTTCGTGCAATCATACATGCCATTGAATGGAGGGTTAAACATCTTAAGGAATGTCACTTACGGGTGTTTCATCTAACTGACTCATACATCGCAATGAGTGTTATTTCAAAGGGCCGTAGTTCCTCACAGATGCTAAAGCCTCTCTTAGCGCGGCTGGCGACCCTCCTCTTGGCCTTTGACCTGTATTTGATCGTGAGCCATGTAGAAAGCAGTGAGAACCCTACTGATCATGACAGCCGCGCATAAGTTCTGGCCAGGCCAATCGACGCAGTCTGAGCGTCGTGAGGCCCGGCGGAACATTGTGCTGGAAGACGTGGGGATCACTGCGGCGACTTTGGACCGCTACTATACCTGGCCGTCGAAAGGTTGGTGCCCGCTTTGGATGACGTCGCCACAGAGCACGAGCTTGACGATGTCATCGCAAACTGGGTGCAGACGGAGTTCGAGGATGGAACTCCTCTGCATCTGGTAGGGGACGCTTTAAGTGGTATCCACCACTTTGAACCCTTCACTCGCAAGCGTCTACCAAAGAGCTGGCGACTCTATGGTATCTGGAGAAAATACGAGATACCATGCCGCGCTCCACCCATCACACAGGACCTATGTCTGGCTATGGCTGGTTGGTGTATCCAGCACAATGAGTTGGTGATGGCAGGTTTATTGCTACTGGGCTTTCACTGTCTTCTCCGGACAGGTGAAATACTCCAACTGAGGCCATGTGATTTTGTCCTGGACGCTATCAGTGGAGTGGTCTCCATTCCCAGCAGTAAAAGTGGGGTCCGCAACAATTCACGCGAAAATGTGATTATCAAGGATCCTTGCACTCTGGAGGTGGTTCAAGCCATGCTGGATTTGCGTTCCGCGCAAGGCTTCCCTAGAACCCCCTGCTGGGACAAAAGTGGCTCTGCCTTCCGATCCCTGTTCCGGAAGATTACGGAGGAGCTGGATGTCCTTGCACTCAACCTCCGACCGTACAGCTTACGGCGGGGGGGGGCAACTTATGAGATGCAATCTCATGGTTTGATGGAACGGACATTGATACGTGGCCGTTGGAAAAATTCCAATGTGGCCAGACTTTACATCTGTGAAGGGCTGGCTATGCTGCCGCGCCTCACCATGTCTATGAGGGCCAAGTTCCTGGTGGCCCGCTATTCGTCGATTTTCATCAACGAGCATCAAAGTTTTGTTGATGGGGGGCGTGGAAAGCGACGCAAAACAAAGGTTTCTTGAAATGGTGGATCGATCCTGCCATGGATCACTTGCAATAAGGCTCTGCCATGAGCCCTCTGGTGTTGACTTTTCTTTGGCCCTGCCATGGGCATCTTAAGGGTTTCTTTTCCCGTGGAGGGATTTTCACAGGTCATGACATAGTCATGAAAACAGAACCTGCGTGCATGGCAAAAATGCGTGCTCTGCAGCTTGAACCCAATATTTATCACTGTATATCCATATGTGGTTCTATCCAGGGATATAGTGGTTTGACCGATAGTGCATCAAAGTGCGGGAAAAGACAATCAACCATGTGCAATACCCAAATGCTCCATGTATAATATATTTACCTACAAAACGGGGTGATTGATGGGGTAAATGTTGGGATTCATATTCCAGCACCATGGTTCGCATATGGGATATGCATGTGTTTCGGAGGAAAGGTGCGGTAGTGATCCCATTCACTGAGGATAAGGCGATCTTCTTGGAATGCAACTTGGAGTCGCAGTGTGTACCCGGCCTGGTAAACATACAAAAAGCTATTGAAAATCACCATAGAAATAGTGGATTTACCCATTCAAAATAGTGATTTTCTTTAAAACAAAACAATGGAAAATCGCCATTTTTAATGGGACAACTCACTATACATTGCCATTTTCAATAGCAAACTGTTGGTCATTACCAGAGGGTTTTTCACATATTTTAGCTACACATATTGGATCCCTAGCGCCCCAGGTAACATTGTTGATGAAAAGAGTGTGGTCGACTGCATGGCGGCCATCAAGGTGCCTTTGACGTAGGGTTGATGGATGGGGTGGGAGAATGGGATGATCAAATTCCTAGCGATGAAATGGATTCCCGAAAATTCCCGTAAAACGCACCAGTAAATGGAGGTTTCAATAGGAAAATCATCTACACATGGAAGATTGTCCATTACACGTTTGAGTACCGGAGGGTACTGTAGCTCGTACAAGAATATTGGTAGACCTGTGACAGTTTTACGTTTGGTTTCGCTGTATATATGGATTTGGGTTGATGATGACATAGTCAAGTAACTTAACTTAAGGTTTAACAACATATGTTTTGCTATGTTTGAATCTTCCATCAGCAAGTTTCACAGAAAGTGAGAAATTGGAACCATAGATTATCCATACAGTGGATGAACAATGGATGAACAATCGGGACACGCAACGTCAATGTGCTTGGACTTTTGAACTGACCCCCTTTAAGGCCCCTCAAAGTTGACGTAAATCCGATGTTCTTCAACATGCACCCTTCGGCTCGACTTGGCACGAAATCAGACATCCTCCATGTTTGGATCTCTTCCATTGAATCCAGCAAAGACACATGAAATCAAACACAATTGGACTGCTTTGGAAGGCAATCAACAACAAGAACCCACCATCCATTCCAACTTAATCAAATCCTTGGAAACCAAACTTTCATGAACCTACTTTTCTCCTTGCAATATACATGATTCTCAGATCATTTCCAAGATTGTTACCATATTATTCTATCATGTTGACAGGTTTTCCATGATTATTCCCATACCATCATAAGTATATTCCCAGATCATTCCCAACATGATTTTCATTATAGTGATTTCCATGACTCTTTCATCTTATTTACATACCATTTCCACGAGTATTTCCATTAGGTTTCCATTCTTATTCCCATATGATCAGGATATTCTTATATGATTCCCATAGTTATCTCATTATTCTATTATAATATTCCCATATTATCTCTTTAGAGTATTGGGAAGCTATGGGAATACATATATATATATATAATTATAATTTATAATGGAATTCAATATCGAAATATGTTGTTTTACATTATTCTATGAAATTCTATGGTATTTCCATCATATTATTTAACCATACTATTTCCAGGATTATTTCCATCATATTCCCCAAGAATTGGTATTTCCATCATATGTCCATCATATTTCTCACCACACCACCCATTGGTATCTCATGATCCCCATTTTTTGCAGGAGAAGTTTGGCAAGCTGAGTGCTGTGGTGAGCTGCGCAGGCGGCCAGATGATGGGATGCGGCCTCACAGCGCCTTGGATGCCTTGGTGGATCATCGCCGAAGTTGAACGAATGGTGTTTTTGTTTACCTTCTGGTAAACGTTTACATAACTATGGAAAATCATCATTTTTAATGGGAAAATTCACTATAATTAGTTATGTAAACGTTTACCAGAGGGTAGTGAATGTGAGAGAAATCCACCAGTTGAAAACGGTGGTGAATCCCATAGGGTTGAAACCACGTGACGGTGATGTAGACATCACGTATTTGGGCAAACGATGAACGAAGTCACAGTGACAGAAACATCCAAATCATGCTGAATATAGGGAAACATCCAAAAAGCAAGTTAAACAAATGCTATTAATCTTACTGGTGCTAAACGCAGGGCATTTTCGGGCATGATCCCAGTCATCACTAGTAATCATCCCAGCAACCCCCAGCAACCCATCCATTCCCAATCCCCTAATCTCCATATTTGCTCATCTGGTTGGTAGTTTCAAACATGTTATTTTTTCCATTTCATAAAAAAGGGATGTCATCCCAACCCCATTGACGAACTCACTCCATCATTTTTCAGAGGGGTAGGTCAACCACCAAGCAGATGGTAAATTTGAATCTTAAGTTCATATTGGGACAATTCACTATGTCTATGGCCATGGCTTCAATAGCAAACTGTTATTCATATTGAATCATAGCCCAGTTGATGTTAAATCACCAGAGGGTAAATCCCATTATATCCCCCATAAATCCTATTAAATCACAATTTTTAGCAAGTTCCTTGTTGAATGATTTTGCCCACTGCCCAAGGCATCAGCAGAGTGTCGATATGGGTTCGAAGCACCAGTATAGTCTGACAAGTCTGGCAGCCACAACTACCTCCCAATGTATGTAAAAACGATCATCATTTGGCATGGATAATGATAGTTAATAATGGATAATGATGGTTAATGATGATAGATCAAATTCTAATTTAACTTCCAGTCAAACATATGTTTGTTGGGATGAAATCTAAGCTAATTTTAAGTTAACCATGTTCGTTTTTGAATACCCAGAACTACCATCATGTACATTTATGGCTCTTTACTGTTATAGGTCACTTATAACCCCATTCATGATCCTATTTATAACCACCAAGATCTCTGGTTTCTAGAACCATAAATCCCATGAAATCCCAATTTTGCTTCGTTAAATCAGTGAAATCATATTAAATGTCATGAAAAATCCACCATTTCTGTTGTTTAAATCCCATGAAAATCACAAATTGTTCCTGGTCAAATCACCATGGAAATCCATGGTTTTACGGGCCATGTGAACGTTCGGCGATAACTTGGCAACTTTTCGCAGGTGGACAAGAAGGGCCAGCCGCATCCCCTGAAGCCCTTCGTGATGCTTGGCCAAAACTGGCTGGATGTTCAGGGCCCGGCTGGGATCCAGCCGTCCAGCCTCAGCTTCTCAGGAAATATTTTAATGTATTTTAGGGCTTTGATTTGGGGGGTGAATTAAGGACCTTCTCAGAAAGTGTTTGGATCCATAGGGAGGCTTTTCCATGGATGTTCATGGATGTGAATGAATTGGGCTTACGGTTTTTGAATGTGTAAAAAATGGATTTGAATGCATGTTCATAGATTGCCCCAGATGCACAAGTATCCAAATATATCCAAATGAAGATGAAACATATATCCAAATATATCCAAATATTGTAAATACAAAGTGGCGGGGTGAGAAATGGATAGACATGGGCAATCCATCCCAATCTACCGGTGATACCCCGCTGGTCTCAGATACCCCTGTTGAAGCCACAACCCCGTTTTTTGATGCAGAAAAACACATCGTCGTTTCAACCGGTTTTTGTAGCAACCCCCGATGCCAAAAACCGTTGGAAACGCTGGAATTCTTCGGTGAAGCCCGAAGTTGACGGTGAAGAATCTCATGATTGAGAAAAGACCCGTATAGGAAGCCCCTGATAGAAAGTTGAAAAGTGGTACTGCTGTACTATTTAAATGGACTTTTACTTTTCTTGATTATAGTATAATGGCCATAGATCGAAGGGCAATCCTGACTTCTTTTGCTGAATGCCCCGTGATATCATCTTACTTTGAGACAAACCCACGAATCTTGTACTGAGTCGTACTGGTTTCATCTCCCACGTTCTGCTGGTTATACATCCCCATGTGTTTAAAGGCTAATTCCACTAGTTGTTTTTTTATGAGTTGCTGTAGTCCCCATTGATTGTTAAATTCACCGAATCCCATGGGGCTGGCTTGGAAATTCCATGATTCCCATATGACCTGATATTCCACCCAGATTCTGCATGGGGCTGGAGTATGAATCCCAACTTTGAACCCCTTCAAGTGACCCAGTTTTGTAGGTAAATATATAATGGTAAATATTCCAGCACCATGCAGCATATGGGATATCAGAATTAGATACATCTACCATAAACCATAGTTAATCCACTGCTTCCACTTATAAACCGACTTAGCAAAGTGCTTCATCCCATTGTTAGATTGGATAGTCCAATAAATATTTCCACATATGACCCATCCTTAAATGGTTCAAAATGGCGGAGTCCCAATCATTAAGACCTTCTATTTTTGGTGGTTAAATCCCATAATTCATCCTTCAATCTCACCATTTCTGGTTTTGAAATCTGAAAAATCACCATTCAAATCACCATTCAACCACCATTTAATTCTGGGCCATGGCTGTTCTTTTCCTGAACTCCCCTTGTTGATCTCCAGGAAGACTATGGAGCTGAACATCGTGGGAACGTTTCTCATCGCCAGCAAGGCGGCCGCCCTCATGGCGGCATCTCAGATGGCAGTGGATTTTTTGGGAAGTTTTTGGAAAGCCCCCCAAAAAATGCCTACCCTCTGGTTGTGTCAAAATAGCTATTGAAAATGGCCATTTATAGTGAGTTTACCCATTAAAAATGGTGATTTTCCATAGTTATGTTAGTTTACCAGAGGGTAAAGATGATAGTTTTCCATAGTTATGTTAGTTTACCAGAGGGTAAAGATGATAGTTGGCCCCCCTATTTAAAAAAAAACAAAAAACTAAAAAGGCCTTTTCACTTTGTTTCCGGCCCCCCCCAGTCATCCCCTGTTAAAGAGGCCATAGAAGACCTAGATGATTATAGATTATAGTTGTTTTGCATAAATCTCGATGAAATCTCCATGATTTTTGGAACCCCCTTAGAATCCCCACCCGCCTGAGGAGAACAGCGTCGATGACGCCGAGGGCGAACGCGGCTGCATCATCAACGTAGCCAGTGTGGCAGCGCAAGATGGACAGAATGGGCAGATCGCGTATTCCGCAGGCCGCGGGGTGGTGGATGGGTGTCGGGTGGGGGTGCCCGGCCGGACGTTTCTGAATGTCATTCGTGGAATAGAAGTGGATTAAGTTTGGAAGCGGATTAACTTTGGTTTCTGGACATATATATATATATATATATGGTTAATCTATCTCTTTGATAGTTTTATAGTTATGTGGTGGGGTTGATTCACCAACAAAACTGGGATTCAGCGGGTGATTTTGTCAGGAACTGATTGGGATGTTGGAATTTCCAACATCAAGGGAGGGATCTGTAGGGGATCCTCTTTAAGACAGAAATCGGAGTTCAAGGGAATCGTCTAACATCAACATAGGGAATATTCGAACATCACATGATTTCAAGTTTTGAGCAGCAAAGATAGAAGCTGGTGGTCCCCCAGAAGGGATGTGCTGCCGCTGAAGAGAACAGGAGGTGGGGAGTTATTAATAGCCACATGGCTACCCTTTGGCCATTGAACATGACCATTATGTAAAATGCAAAACCATCACTTTATAAATTAATAAAGGTATATAATATATGGTTTTGATTAAACACACATAGATATTGTATATATATATATAAATGCCCCTTTTGTACATGTTTGAACGCCCGTTATTTAAAATGTTTTCAACCATCATTTTAGTGGGTCAGACCGCTCCCCGTCATCACTATCTGTTTTTCATAACAACGTCGGGTGGACATGAGCCAGGCTTACGTCGGGATATAGATGGATATAGGATACATGACCTTCAGCATGTTGTGGCCATCGCCCATATTTTTTATTTTGGGACAGAGTCATTTTTGAGTTGAAACAATAATGGGGTGATAAAACTCCATAAAACTACTACAACTAGTTGGTTATCAGATTGCCCTCTGGTAATTCAACATAGCTATTGAAAATTACAATTTATAGTTGATTTACCCACGAAACACATGTGATTTTCCTTGTTTTTTTTTTGTATGTTTACCAGATGGTATATCCGTATATCCCATTAATAATATATACTGTAGTTAGTATATAATTATCTCATTAATAATTGATAGTATTAACTATAATAACTATAGTTGGTTATCAGATTATATATATATATAATATATATATATATCCCATTTATTAATGTAGGGTAGATAGTGAGTATCTGTTACAGCTGTTTATTTTTATGGAATCATATTGTAACCTAGTTTAGTTATCATTCCTTATGGATCCAAACACTTTCTGAGAAGGTCCTTAATTCACCCCCCAAATCATAGCCCTAAGTCATACTTCCTGAGAAGCTACGGCTGGATCCATAGGGATTACCCTCTGGTAAACTAACATAGCTATTGAACATGGCCATTTATAGTGGATTTACCAATTAAAAATGGTGATTTTCCATAGCTATGTTAGTTTACCAGAGGGTATAACTCCAGATATACCATTTACAACTGTTCGGCAGTTGGGCCCACTGGACAGGCAAGGGCGGCATCATGGCCATGACGTTGCCGATGGCACGGGATTTGGGGAAGCAAGGCCGGGGCCGGGATTGTTTATGTTTTTTTTGGTGGGAAAAGGTATGTAAAGGTGATATTTAGAATGGTGAATCCATGGATCTGCTATAATGATATATACTTTACCATAGATTATCCATAGTATATTTGGAAAAAAACATGTTAAACATGTCTGGACTTTGCGAGTGAAAAAAGATGAAACAAGTAGAACTACTCCATTCAGAATGAGACATCTATTGGGGATGGTTTATTGCCAGAATCCCTTGATTGGCCATTATTATCCCTGATATTATCCCATATAAACCCATATTATTTACATAAGCACAATAATTTCAATAGCAGGCTGGGAAACAGAGATCGGCGGAGACACCACCCAGCTTCCCTGCCATTCCTGGCACCTAAGCTGGGAAAAAAGTCATGGCAGATTCAAAGTGCTCCAATCGGGTCCCTCACGCATGATAGACCATGATAAGCCATGATAAGCCATGGCAAACCATGACCCATAGGATCCATCTATGCTATATATGGGAACATGGATCCCATCAATATACCCCCTTTATGTTAGCAGTTAGCATTAATATACCAGCACCATGGATCTATGGGTGATAAACCACGGCTTCAAAATGGCTCCGAAATCTTTCATTTCATTCTTCTGGGGAAAACCCACGGCTGAGAGCGCAAAATCATGTGGGAAGGCATGCCTCAACGATTTTTTACACAGATTGGCACGATTCCTGGGGCAACATCTAGATCTGTAGTGGGGTTGCCATCCAATGAACCATCAATTTAAATGATCATTTTACATCCCAGTTGTTGGGCTATTGGGGGATGGGTTGTTTCTATACTTATTCCATATAATTCTCCATTCCTATGCCAGTACCTGTATCAATCCATATCTTTAAGTCCATATGTAAAAATAGTATTAACCTTCTCCCCAAACTCTGATTCTTCCAGTATTCTCCCACTATGTAGAAGTTTACCAGAGGGTAACTATTATGAACCATAGATTATCCATAGATTAACATAGATTAACCATATATTAACCATAGATAAACCATATCTATTGTCCTTTATTTATCCATGACACGGTGTTTTTTCCCACAGCGCGGATCCCACGGGTGTCTCCAGGCATTCGCGTGAACTGCATCCTGCCGGGTGTCTTCGAAACTCCCATGACTGTCCCTGGGCCACGAGGGGACGGGGACGTTAGTTCGTCTATAGTATTGTCAAAAATGTCACGTTCATAGGAACATTATATATATATATATAAACATAATTGATACGTAAATTATACATGATAATATACATGAATGATAAGATACATAAATTTTAATATACATAAATGATAATATACATGAATGAATCATGAATGATAACAAACATGAAATACAAATGATAACATACATAATTGGTAATATACAAAAATGGTAATATACATGAATGATAACAAACATAAAATACAAATGATAACATACATAAATGATAATATACATACACGGTAATATACATGAATGATAACAAAGACAAAATACAAATGATAACATACATAAATGATAATAATATACATAAATGGTACTATACATGAATGATAACAAACACAAAATACAAATGATAACATACATAAATGATAATATACATAAATGATAATATACATGAATGATAATATGCATAAATTACAAATGATAACATACATAAATGACAAGACACATAGATTATGATATACATAAATGATAATATACATAAAATATAAATGAAATTATACATAAATGATAATATACAATAACTTTAGTTAATATATTATGTAGTATATAATACATGATATATTATTATTGAAAAAGACTTTGCCCTATGCGTCCAGTGGCCCATTATATCCGGGAGCCGGCTCAGTAAGCAAACATGGTGGTAACTGCGTTTCGTTCTCGGAACCAAGCTAAACTACCGAAATCTAACCGCGAAATAGCATGTCGGAACCGTGTAGCCAGGCTCTGTTTCCTTATGGAGTGGTAACTATATGAAGAAATTTAAGTTGTTTGCGGCTTTGACTAGATAGGTGAACCATGAACGTCAGATTAAAGAACTTCGTATTAACAGATATTGATTGATGAACCATTTTGAGATTGCAATTTGGACGATTGAGCCTGTTTTTTTTCCGCGATTTGAATCATGATCTTTTATTAGAAAGACCACCCCCTCATACAACCAATGCCAAGTCGTATTCGACCGGACCCAAGGAACCGTTGAAGCAGTTCAGACCGGCGGTGTATAAGAACTTGACGCAATCCAACATTTTCCCCAACAACCGACTGGGCTTGCCCGAGGACGGCTTACTGTACTTGCGGCGTCGCAGAGAGAAACCAAGAGGTGTTTCAGTTTCAGCAGTAATTCGTCGAATCAAACTGGACATGGCAAAGGTAAGTTTTTAGATGACCAGAGGGTGTTGTATGGGATTATATTGTGAATGCACATGGGCATAACAAAATATTGAGCTGATCTGCAGAAAATCACCACAAGATCACACACGACTTGCACTCATCTGATATACTGTAAGAATACTAATTAATTAATCAAAACTAATCATCCAGATGCCGATCATTTGAATCCAAAACTGATCTCCTCATATCATAGTTGCTTAAACCCCCATTGTTCATCATTGATGGTTAAATCATGTGAAATCTCCAATTTTGGACCATATTTGATAGTTAAGTCACCATTTTTGATACCAAGCCCGGTTTTTCTCGAATGCCAGGAGTTCGCCCAGATGGCAGTGGCCATTCTCGAGAACAAGTGCATCGCCGAATGTGGGGCGGTTCGGGTTGATGCATCTGACTCCAGGTGGCCCTATAGGATCCATAGGATCCATGGTGCTGCTATATTAATGGTAACATGGATCATAAATATACCCCAGTCATGTTAGCATACCAGCACCATGGATCCTATGGGTTATCCTAAAGACCCCCGTTTTTTTTTACTGACAATATCTATTCACCATTGAAGTTTGATGCTTTTCTAGTATGGAATCCCCTAAAACGAGTGCAATTGATTGCAATACCAGGATGCTTTCAAATGGGAACAGACAGGGACACGAAATGGCTAGACATTTTAGCGCCTGCCTTACCCATCACAGGTATATGAATGGTGAGAGCATCCGCATCGATGCCGGCATCCGCATGGGCAAGCTGTGATGGGCCGGCGTTTGGCCGCCCGTCCACAATCGCGAGACGCAGCGACGTCGCGGCCGGCGCGCGCTTGTTACGTGAATCAACGTGGCGCGCCGGCGGTCGGAGGATTTCAAAGCCCCGGCGCTGGAAAAAGAAAGGTTCCTGGAATCATGTGAGATTTACCATCCTCAAGGGGATCCACCATGTTTAAAGAAAACTCCAACCATTCTCAAATGATATAGTTGGTTTATTTTGAAAAAATCTGTGAACATGATAATTGCAACTGAAACATTCATGTTTAATGGTAGCTTGGTTAACATGAATCATCTTTCTTAACCATTAAATCATACTGTTTCTGTACAGGATGTTATAGGTTCATTATATTGCTTTACTAACATGAATCATCATTCTCAACCATTCAATTATCACATATCATCACCATTAATGCTCATTAACCATGATGAACCATGATATTAACCATGGTGAATCACGTATAATCACGTCTAGTGATGGTTAATCATTATAACCATGGTATAATCACCATTAATCATGAATTTATATACATTATCATATACCTATATTAACCATGGTGAATCAGGTGATTTTAATCACCATTAACCATTACGAACCAGCAATCGCTGAGCAGGACTATCACGAGGCCTCCGTGGCCCTGCGAAATTGCGTTTCTTTCGCCAAACTGGGCCGGACTGGGGGGAGCCATAAATGGGCCGAATGGTTTGTCGAGGAGATGTGATTTATATATTTTACATTAATAACTATATTATATATATAGTATATATATATGAATAATATAATCGAATATTGTCTTATATGAATAACATCTAATCGAATATTGTCTTATATGAATAACATCTAATAAATTGTATTTATATCCATGATATAAATGATGTATAGTGGCATAGTGTATATAGTTTCGATTTGTTGGATGAACATGTAGTCCATCGCCAGCAAAAATGGCACATCCCATAGCAACAACATGTCTGTTTCTACGGACTTCCGTTGCGAATCTTGAGCCATTGATGGTTAATGGCCAAGGATGGTTAATGATGGTGGATCTCTGGTTAATCTATGGTTAATCATGGCTAATAGTGGTTAATGGTGGTTAATAGTGGTTACCCTCTGGTTATGACTAACAGTTCGCCATGGTATAGATGGCCCTAATCGAAATAGATGCTTTACCGAACTTCAAATGGGTGGATTTTCCATGGCGAACTGTGAATGTCATAACCAGAGGGTACATTAAAATCCCATGAAAAAAAAACATATCTTGGGAATAACGTGGTTAGATCCTGTTAACCATTAAAAATCCCATTAAAATCCCATGAACCAAACATCTTCAGTCAAGGTTAGATCCTGCGCCCTGCTGATGAATCAACGTGGCTTAGTGCCTCGGAGATCTCGCTGGTTGCGGCTGGAATGATCCACCATTTTTGAGTGGAAAAACATGGAAAACCTCATTATTTCATATTATTTCTATCTATTTCTATGGGTATTTTTCAATAGCTATGTAACAAATTACCAGAGGGTAGATGCGGGTTCGTGGTCTGATTTTTTTGGAATGAGTGATATAAGATAGATATGCTATCCTACCTGCGATGATGGTTTGAGCTTCACATACCATCTGGTAAACAAACATAGCTATTGAAAATGACCCTTTATAGTTGATTTTCCCACTAGAAACGTGTTTTTCCATAGCTATGTTAGTTTACCAGAGGGTATCTTGTATTTTCAACCAAGATTGCCAATGAAGAGCAGATTGTTCCAGGGTTGAAGCCGGGAACCAGGGCAAATGTTGGAAGTTGATCGTGTTTTTGTCTCTAGGATGGAGTTGAAACATTCGGAAAGATGGAAGAACAATTCTCTGGGGCAGGTCGTATATATTGAGATATCTAGGTGGCTTGGAAGATTAACAGCTGCAAGTAGAGAGGTGGATGCCTGAATTTGCTCCCAGTACAGGGTGGCCCCACCCACATAGTTGAGTTATGTTGAGTTTGTAGAAGTAGGTGAAGTCTATGTTTTACGGTAGATATGCAATGAGGTTTAAATACCAACAAACATTACATGGAGGGCACCACCTTGTGTTTCTGTGTCGGATCAAAGGGCAGAAAGGTAATACGACATTTCCGTGCATATACCAAAAAATCAATGGTAACCTCATAATTCTATACGCACCCGGAATATTGTTTGTCCACACTTAGTCATGATCAATATATTATATATATCATATATCATATATTATATATTATATATATTATATATATTATATATTATATCATATATGATATATATTTATATATATTATATTATAAACCATATGTATATGTATATTATATATTCATTTTTTACACACATATATATATATAATAAACCATATGTATATTACATATTCAAAATTATACATATATATATATACATGACGCATAGTAACCCCTGACAAAAAAAGATCGAAGTCGCGCCGCCAGGTCTCGAACGCCGATCGCCATGTGGTGGCCATGACTCAGCATTTGTTCTACGAGGCGAGGCCATGGCCGCCATGGCTGCGCCAGGTCAAGCAGGTTAAGTAAGGACTACCCGGCCTGGTAAACCTACAAAAACCCATGGAAAATGGCCATAGAAATAGTGGATTTTCCCATTCAACATGGTGATTTTCAATGGACTTAGTCATCTGTTCCATCTGTTTCACTGGATATTGGATTTTTTTTTAACTGGAAATTGGATAGATTGGCAAATTGGACACATTTTTTTTGTATGACAATGTTCATAGTGTTAGATATGAGAATGATTGATAATGTATTGTGAAATTTTGGATAACAATATATATAAAGGATAATGCATGTAAGTGATAACGTTGGTTGATCTATTTAACATCTACGATAATGTATGTAGACCTTGGATGGATCTTGTTGGTCAATAGAAGTTAAAAGTGTTGATCCTCATTGTTCCACAGTGTTTTGTATCACTTGTTATTACCATGCCATGGTCAAATTTTGGATTGCGCCAATATAGCCAATATATGCCAATATCATTTTCCCAAATAACATGTGATATGAATCGGAAATATGCCCAACATAAACATCATCAAAAATTGGATAAAATTGGATTATACAATATTATATACTGACCCAGTTCTTGGGTCTGGTCATGAGTCCATTTGTTCATAGGGATTCCTCTATAGTCATTATCTTAGGATTCCTAGCACATATTCGCGTGCAAAAAAAATGATTCGGGGGGAACTACACCCCTACACCCCAATACGATATATCCGGGATATGTAACCAAGCAGACATGGGAAATGGTGATTCATGTTGGGAAACATGGTTCATGTATGGTAACATTTCATGGTAATCGATGTGATCCCATCATGGGAGTCATCTCCATCCTGAGACTAATGAGACTAACCCACAGAAATTGGGGCATTTGCGCCAAAGAAATTGGGATTAGATAATTAACAAAGCATGTGGCCATAAAGGGATTCGTAATATATACATGTGTATATATATATATATATACATATGTGTGTGAAGAACCCGTATGATGATATCTGTGTGTTTGCCGCAACCATATTGGTGATAGAATTGGACATAAAATAATTGATGGATATTCATGGGATAAGATACAGCATGTGGATTTGGCCTGCCATTTCGCCATTCATGAAGGGGGATCAACAATATCTGTGATGTTGACCGTCGTTGGAGGTGTAATCTAGGGATTACTGTAGCTGTCTTTGGGAACTTGGGAATTTAGCGATCAACAAAAATCGAATCAAGACATGAGTTAAAGATAACATAACTATGGAACATCATATTTTTTTTTAAGAGGAAAAGGGTACCATTGGGCCTTGAAATTTGGACAAGCTTGGATGGGGTACTTGAACTCTGAACACTCTTAATCTATTGATTTTCATATGAGATATGCAGTAAGCAGTTCTTTTGATTTGGCCATCAAATAAGTATGACATGAATAAATACGTATAGATTTTATTTCGTTTTTTGTGTTATATATATATATAATGGGATACACCATTCAAGAAGTTGGGCCAAGCCCTGCGCTTTCGCTACCAGCTATGGAACGTCAAGTAATGATGTAAAACCAATAATAATGACAAACATTGGCTATATGGGATAATAGTGGAAGAATTATGGGAGAAATATACAATAATAATGATACTGTAATTATGATTTTATAACTATTATATATATACTATGATAATAACCATTCCAATTGGTGTCTAGTTTTTATATTTGGTGTAGCCCGGATGATTGGGATGATTAATCCTAGCGTCCACATGGTTAATGGGATGGTTTATGGCTTTGGGTTTGCCACGCTACTTCTTGTTTTTGAGATTGGCAATGTCATCCTTTCAATATGCATGTGTAAAGGTTACTTTCTACAGCGTACACATACTGGTACACTTAGAAACTCCAAGTCCCATGAAAATGCGTAAGAGTCCCAAGTCACAACGTCATATGTACGTATATGTTCAGCAATGTTAAGTATATGAACCCCATTTTTTGAGCTACATATTGTGGCATATGGAATAGCCCGACAATTGGACGTGAAGTGGACTCATGCCTGAAACATCCACCTTTGCTGTTTGGAAAAATCCACTGACTAATCAGCATGTTCTCTGTGATTTGGTGGTTGGCAAACACACCCATTTGCGTTTGCTAACATAACATCGTTGGCCACGCATCCCAAACCGAGCCCCAATGTTTTTTCAGCCGATGCCCACAGGGTATCGCCATCTGACTTCAGAGTCGACAGCTTCAGGTCGCAAGGCATCCAGGTCGAAGAATCTAAGGGCATCGGATGCCAGTCATCGTTCTCCAGTCCACATCGTTCTCCAGCTGGAGGGAGGAACGTCCAGTCTTTCGCTTGTCACATACGTCCGAAGTCTTGAAGGAGAGTACTTGTCCTCGTGTCCAACGGTTGCATTTGATTCATCTTGACAATTGCACTCCAAGTCTGTGTGAGCTTCTACTACTGCCCATATTGAATGAAAGGATGATTTACTTTTTTGTGTGACCAATTTTGCCAAGGTATGATCACTTGATTGCCGATCTCCAGACGATTTCCTTGTTCAAAAAAGTGAGAAAACATGAGAAAACAAGGGATAACACAAATCATGCAACGTCCCATTGCTGACTTTTCTCCCATCGCAGACTGCAGAGTTTCCGTACAAGTTCTTTGATTGATATGTAACGAAGTATCATGCCTTCACAGAAAAAATGAATTCCACTTTGACACTATTGACACGTGGGGATGTACGAACGGTCAGCAACACAGGCCAAAAGTTGCAGTTGTTTTGTTTTATATCATAAATATTATAGGTACCTATGTATAAGATTTAGAGACATGTGTTTAAAATATTATGGAATAATTCACATATAATGATACGTATTGCGTTTCAAAGGGTTTCAAGTAACATTTTTTTCAGAGCCACACCTGCAGTTTGACATGGAATTATATCCGGCAAAAGACTGGCAGCGTATCCTGCAGAAAGTCTGTTAGGTTTCATGATTGGCAATGGCGCCACTTTGGTCATCTAAGTTTGCGCTGTTACCAATCACATGCAAATATTTCGTCATTTGAGCTAGTTCTTTGTCTCAGAGCAAGTGCCTGTCATGGGTTTGGCACATTGATTAGTTTACAAGACTTAAGGGGAACCACCCAAAATCATCAAACAACTAGCTGGTTGTGAATTATGATGACTTTCAGTCCTTTTTTCAATGATATGATTAATCCCGATTGAATATTTGAATCAAACCTTTCTCCATTGGATTCCCTCCGGTAAGATAATTGTGTTTGTCCCCCAGTTATCGCGTGGATAACTATATGGATAAGTGATTTCTTACAAATCAACATGTGTAACAATTAGCCTAGTAACTCTTACACAATTCAAAATCTCCCATGAACATGGATGATGATGACAAACTGCTACCACTACAAACCAGTAACTATCCAACCATATAAGTATTTAATAGTTTTTAATCGTATCTAACAATCCCTTCTTTTTTATTAATAGATGTTATATCCCAATTGATCCATCTAAGTAAATTATAACGACCTCACTGTTCTCCAGAACCCTGGAATCATGTTTTTTTTTTTTATAGGGAACTCATCCCCAAATGGCCCAACAATTCAGGTGAGTGAAATATTATAATTTACCCAGATAATATATATATATATATAATATATATATGCATCTATAGTTGATGAGATCTAATGGGATAATATCAACCAACGGTGGGATAGCAATCAACCAACTAATAATGGATTTTTCCGGCAGGTGCTACCGATGCCTTTGCCCATCTCCAAGGGAGCTGCACGGCGCATGTTTTTCATGGGCAAAATGATGGGTTTCTGATGGGAAATCCATGGTTTATTATGGGGAATCCATGAAGATCCGAAACGGAATGGATGATTTTTATGGGTAAAACCACGACATTTTAGAAAAACACATCCTTAAATCAGGAGATCCTATAAACATGATTCAAAATGGGGGGAAAATTGCAATCAAAAGCTAGCAGTGAAAAGATCATTGTTCACATGCTGCATCAGGGAGTATGTTCCATTTCAAGTTGGAATACTGCAGAGAGTTTCAATAACCTCATCATGAATGATGGTTACCCTCTGGTAAACGTTTACATAACTATGGACAATCACCATTTTTAATGGGTAATTCAACTATTTCTATGGCCATTTTCAATAGCTTTTTGTATGTTTACCAGGCCGGGTATGTGGTTCAGGCTTCACCGTTTTAACCTGCGATGGGATATATTTTGGGATTCCCGAATTCTCAGCTGAACAATTGCCATGATTGGATGATTACCCATCTGGCTCTGTATTCGAGACTGCTTGGTGGTTTGGAACATGTTTTTTTCTCCCATTCAGTTGGGAAGAATCATCCCAACTGACTTTCATATTTTTCAGACGGGTTGAAACCACCAACCAGGAGATTTTTGATGGCTTTCGATATCTTCAGACCCGAGAAAAGCACCGAGGTTAGCGCTTGTTTTTGGCGCAAGATGCCCATGTACTACGAGACCCAGGTTAGCCCATGTTTAAACCTGCGGTGCAGAGTGGAAACAGGGGGCAATTCTAGCGAGCTCAAGACAAGGTCATTGTAGATGATTTATGATGGGTTATAGTGGGAAGATCCCCAACATTCTTTGGTTTTTATCTGCTTTTGAATCATTGTAATTTGCCAATCGTAGCGATGGAAATGTGAAGTCATTTTGCAGAATCCTTGGAGGTCTTACACGGCATTCCTGTGGCAGACATTCAGCCAAAGTGTCAACCAATTGTCAAAAAGCAATCTGACGATCATGAATTCATGAATCAGTTGTGGATAAATCCCATGAAGCCTCATTTTTGCTGGTTAATTAGCATTTTCCGGCATTTTCCTATGGTTTCCGTTATATATTTAGCTCTAATTATATCAAATGCATTTTTTTCTTGGCGAAATCATCAGCTTACTATGTGTTTTGTTTTTTAAACCCAGATCCATCAGCGGTTGGGATTAACCCAAAACACCAGACAGAATTCGCCTATTTTTAGACCCCCCCCAAAAAAAAAGTGAAACTGATGATATTCGACATAAAACTGGGGTATGATAATTTATATTGGTTATTAGCAATTTGTCCAGAATCTGTTCACAATATTATATATATATACATATTAATTATACATCTTCCTGATTGTATTCACCATCAACGAACCCACCAGTTGGTTCTTTTCACAATTTCTGGGTCAAACAAACACCATTTATCCACCATCTATGGTCCACTTACGTAGGAACCCCCGAAAAACGATGAGATATGTCCAGTCCCCCGAAATGGTGGTAAATTTAGGGCAACCTTGTGTGCATCGTTTTGGGTTATATATCTATATTCTTCTGGTTGGTGGTTTGGAGCATGACTTTTATGACTTTCCATATATTGGGAATAATAATCCCATGTGACGTTCATATTTTTCAGAGGGGTTGAAACCACCAACCAGCCTTTGTTATCCCTCGCGTTTTGTGTTTGTGAAATAGCCGGGATAAGATATCCCAATTGTTTGGGGTACAGTAAATCCCACAATTAAAGCGACCAATTTGGTTGGTTTTATCTCCTGTTTTCATCTGGGTAAATCTTATCATATTTCACCGCCTGTAAGTAATCAAACATAGCTTGATGGAAAATTATCCCATTTATAAGAAACTATTTTACTATGTTCCTATACACTATTTTGCTAAACTAACATAAACTAAATATAAACTATCTTATGGCCGATCTAGTTCGAGGATTTCCCAGCTAGCCATAATTATTTGCCGAAGGGTATTAACCAATATTCCGTCAGAAAATCCCACTTAAATATTCCATTCTATCCCCATGATACCGCCATTTTTGTTCATGTAGTCATATAATCAATTAACAACATATGTGACAAATCTATGATTATTATATGTTATTATATGTTATTATATGTTATTATATGTTATTATATGTGATAAATCTAATGTTTATTTCTTGATTATCACATATAATAACATATCAAAACCCCAAAAAAAGCACTGCCAACAGAACCATGATTTTGATCCACTGGCAGGGATCCCTGGTTCGCGAGCTGTGGCTGGTGGTCCAATACTTCCTAGCCTCGTCCCTGTCCCTACCGCGCGGACGCCCGTCGGTGATCGTCATGGGATATATCAGCAAAGTGACATTAATGAGGATAAATCAGGTGCTTACCAGTTTACATTTGCAAAATATGGCTCAGTTTACATTTGCAAAATATGGCTTGGTGATTGTTTACATTTGCAAAATATCTTGGTGATTGTGACAATGAATTCAGTATGGGTGAATATTCGTTGGTGTGTGTGTGTATGGTTTCTTGTGGGTTATCAGCGGTTGTTGTGGGTTACTGTATTATGATACGGTGTATGTTTTTACGGGTCACTGGGGAACCTGACTGAATGGTTACCTATTGTTACTGTTATACAATCAACTTCATTGTTTGCTTCAGTAAACTAAATTTTAGAATAACACAGCCATGCGAGTCATACATCTGAGTGAATGGATAAAAGTCCTATCTATTCAGTTAATTATATACCCTCTGGTAAACTAACATAGCTATTGAAAATGGACCATGTTTAGATGATTTACCTATTCAACTGGTGATGTTCCATGGTTTTTGTATGCTTAGCAGGCCGGGTAATCTTGTTGAAACGGTGATAGAACTGCAGCTGCTTCGATGAAGCTGAGGTTGAATACACATCATCACTCAGTCCGTTGCCTCAGCGTTGGAGGATTCAAACGATTTCAACGGGGTCTCTGCACAAGGGGTGTATTGAACGCACGGAGACCCCAGAAGCTGAAGAAATGATAAGAATTGGTATACCCCATAATTTTATCCATATTAACAAAATAAGAAATTATTGGTATACCCCATATTTCCAGAATTGTTTTCTGCCCATATTTTTTTTTGCAAGCGGAAATGAGCTAAAGAGTCGCCAGAGGACGACTTTCAATTGCAGAGCAACGATAACATACATCTGATTGTAAGATATCTATAGATATCATTAGATTTCATTAGATACGTACCACCTTTTTCATCCTTTTTGCAGGATAGAAATTGTTACGTACAGCGCCGATCATCCGAAAAGAAAAAACGTTGGGACCCACAGGATGGTGCCCAAAATTTATGATGTGAACGTTGGTTTAGTTTCACCCCATGAATACTGTAGTTATAAGTATAATAAACCATAGTTTAATTGGACTTATAAACCAACTTAGCTATCTAGGGGGCCCCACATTGTAGATTTCTAGTTGATTTACCTATGACAAATTAAATTCGTTGTATCTACCATAAACCATAGTTTTTTTTTTACCACTTACAAGGCAACTGAACGCGAGCTCGACTGGGGGCCCCATCCTGCAGAAATATGGCAATTTTAGGATGTTTTGTTGGGGAAGATGATGATGAACCAGCATGTAGGGGCACCCGATTAGATAAAACCAATATCCAAAACAGTACTGTGAATTTGAGGACTGCTGTTTTTTTACACTATACTTCATCAAATGTTGATAAAGAAATAGTAAACCATCCCCAAATTTACCATGTTTATATCGGCTGTATAAACCATCAACCCATATTGGCGGTTTATGGCATTGGCATTACTTTACTAACATTCGCATTATCAACCATGCTTAACCATTGTTAACCATGATACAATCACCATTGCTAACCATTATATATTCACCATTCATCACCATTACTAACCATTACAACCTATACAAACCATTATTAAGCATTATATAATCACCATTAATCACCATTAATCACCATTGCAACCCATCTCTATTTCGCAGGTTTCAATCCCGAATCTACAACCCAAAAAAAAACGTCGTTTTTTGTCGTCGTCGCAGGTGCGTTTGCTGACCTTGGTCTCAGCCTTGAGCGTCTTGGACGCCGTGGTGCGCCGGAACCCGCCGCATTCGCAGAATGATCTCAGTCCTGGGAGCCCAGCTGAGAGCTGCGATCAGCAGCCCTGTTGGTTACACGGCCTGGTAAACATACAAACAGCTATTGAACATGGCCATAGAAATAGTGAGTTTTGCCAATCCCTAGAAAGAGGGATTTTGAACACTGCTCACATGAGTACTTGAATCTTTTGCTATCAATGGTCAAATGATATAAAATGTAGATTCACCAGCTAAGACTTGTAGTTTTTTTTTTTGGCAGGTAGCTAAGATTCACCATTATAAATAGTAAAGGTTGATTTTAAACAGAGCGCAATGCAGTTGGGATGTAGATTAGATGATGCTAACTTCCAGCAGTGAGGTAGTGTGTTGTAATTAGTGGTGGCTTGGAATGCTAAGTTATCTTAAGTTTATCCACAATAACAAATCAGGCAACCAATGCCTTCCAATATGCTATGACAGATTGGCGGTGCTAACCATTCTCATTCACTGTTAACCAGTACAGTACATTCAATACCATATCAATCATCATCAACAAAATATGGATTGCCAATATCCAACCCCATGTTTTATCATGAAGTATATAGCTCATTATTCTTCATCTCCTTTGTCATTATTTACTCACTTCATGTTGACCAATATATGTCAGTTAATTATCATCAACTATAGTCAATTATTTGATTAACTCATATATCTCCAAAAAAACACAGCCTATGTGTTCATGATATGTTCCATATTGATCTGATATGAACCCATTCAGGCGGCCAGGTGCCTGTTCAAAAAACCTGAGAGACTTCAGTGCTGACAGACAGGCGGCTCCGGAGCCATGGCGGATCCATTGAGCGTGCTGAAAAGTCTACATCTCGCCAGTGGAAAAATGACAAAAATGATAAATCAACAGCCAGTTGTCATCAACTATAGTTAACTATAGCATCATTAACTATAATTCCAATTATTTCCAATATCTTTCAATTAACTATCATTAACTATAATATGATTTATTGTTTTTTTTTGTTTTTTTTTAAAAAAAATAAATCCATATGTGTATACATATATATATATAAATATGTTTATCGAACTATACTATACGTACTGTAATACATGGAATTGTCAATGTATCAAACTACATTATACTATATATATATATATACATCCAAGTATATTATAGTTTCTTATTATTCCATATATCCCAATGATATTATTATCCATATAATCAATATTAGTCCATATTAGACATATATATATATGTACATCCCAAAACTATTCCAACATGATTTGATGAAATATCATATTTTCTCTTATTATTGATCTATAATGACTTTTTGGGATATTATTATCCATATAATCCGTTGATATATGCATATGTATATATATATTTATATATATTAACTAAATACTCCATATTAGTCCATATAACCCAAATTAGTCCATATTAATCCATATTATTATTATTATCCATATATTATATGGATCCATAATCCATATTATTAATCCATATTAAGTCCATATTAAGATCATATCAACCCATATTCATCCATATAATCCATATAATTATATATGGGGTTAAAGGTCTGTATTGGGCGTTCGCCTAGGCCGCGTCTACAGTGGCGCTTTGCGCGGCTCCCAAAAAAAGAGCGGCGCCTTCACGGTGGATCTGCAGCTGCAGCTGGCGGAGAGCACCGAGGCCGCGATCCCCAGCGGAGCCACGGGGGAAGTGCTGGATTTCACCCGGAAAAATGTTGGATTTCTATGGAAAATGCTGGAGTTCATGAGATTTTTCATGGGAAAACAATGAGATTGAATATGGGAAAAATGCTGGAGTTCTATGGGGAGTTCTATGGGAGTTCTATGAGTTTAATGGGCAAGTTTGGTGGATTGAGCTAGCTAGCAATGGAGTTAAATGGCCGATATATAAACCAACTAAGCATGGTGATAGTTCATGATATAGTGGATTGATATACAGTAGTGATTTACCTTCCAGCAATGAAACGTGGCAGTGGCCAATCTCCCAGGTATCAGATTTATAGATGATTTTCCCATAAAGCCTCCATCTATACGGGGATTTCCAATGCTTATAACTTATAACTCACGATTGGTTGATGATTGGGTTGATGGCAGACATTTCGAATTAGTTGATGGGGTGATGGAAGGAAAATAAAGGAAAGAACCTATGATGTAACCGTGGGAAAATGCCTCAAATAGCTCAGGATTATATTGATATAACGAAAGATTCTTTGGATATGTTCTGGGGGTGCGTTATCGGATATATATATACATACTTGATGTGAAATTGGATGTGTTTAAAATTGTGTGTTTACCTTGATTTGTGGCATTTTTAATGAAGAAAATGTTGCTCAAGTAACCTAATGGATATGTCCAGACATCCATGCAATAATGACGGGATAATTTTTGGGTATTACCAATTACCAATGATAATTATAAATTAGGTTCCATCCATACTAATTAGCTTGATGGTTCAGATGTCAAAATGCCCAAATGCTCAATGTATGAACATTTACCGACATTTACCCGCTGTATATTCCAGCACCATGGAACACATGGGATATACATTATCCATTCTTCCCCCGAAAATCCAATTAAATAGTGATCACTGTAGTTGATTATCATTACTGTAGCCAATATGTCCAAAAAAAGTCAACCCTATATACTGGTATATTAGATAGATCTAGCATAGACCGTAATCAATCCACTTCTTTTCCACTTCTATATTCTCATATATTCTTCCATTATATTCCCATACACTCTGGTTATTTAACATAGCCATGGAAAATAACCCATTTATAGATGACTTTCCCAGCTATAAACATCCATTTATAATTGATTTTCCAGTTTGCTATGTAAAAGAACCAGATGTGAATAATCATGTTCCATTATACATGAAGTGGAATATATTCTGTTCTTTCCATATATTCATCCATTATATTCCCATATACCCTCCGGTAAATTAACGTAGCTATGGAAAACTACCATTTTCCATGGGTAAATCCACTATTTCTATGGCCATTTTCAGTGGCTACGGGAGTTTACCAGAGGGTAATGTCATTGGCTATCCTATTTCAAATATCCCATCAGTGAAATATCCCTATGATATCCCATGATTAAAGTCAACCCTATAATGGGTATGTTACAATGGTGCCCCCCAAGTTATAAGTTTGTTTATAATCCCATTAACTGTAGATATATCAGCTATAAACTATAGTGATTGGAGTTATAAACGCACCAACTGAACGCGATCGTGGCCGCCTGTATTGTTTGTTATAAAACACCATCATATTCCCATTGTGGTTGGTTTATACCCTATGAAAACCACTATTAATATCATTATTAACCACCATTAAATCCCATTAAAGCAACATTAAATCACCATTTTCCTATGGTAAATCACCATTAAATCACCATTTTCCTATGGTTAAACCCTATGTTAACCATATCCAAAAGTCCGGCAGCGTTGCAGTTCCGCCAGGAACTTCCGTTGTGGGATCCCCATGCGCAAGAGATCAGGTGCCAGGGCAGCATCCCAGGGCGAAATGGAGCTATCAATGGGAAAAAAACATGGAAAAAAATCCCACAGATGGAGATATCAATGGGAAAATCCTAGGAACATGCCTTCATAGGAACATTCCCCATAGATGGAGGGGTCGATGGGAAAATTGTGGGGTTGACCAGTTAAATACAAAAACAGATTGAGAGATTTGACGAACAGAAGTAGTGATAATGGCTCACATAAGATTGCAATATATAACTTATATATAACTATTTCTATGTGAGCCATTATAGGTGGTATGTGACCATGATATTTATTTCCATTTATCAAACACATCATATAGGATGATACAATGATATATGGATGATATGGAGGTTTCCAGAAATGGGGGTACCCCAAAATCGATAGTTGAATTTATGGAACATCCCAATCAAAACTGGATGATTTGTGGGTACCCCCATGACTATGGAAACCCAAAAATATGTCCACATGACGGCACATGTTGGACCAATTTTTATGGGGATCAAATCCCGACACCAAAAGCAAGCTGGATCTGTGTCCACCTGGTGAACATCACCAGGAAGACCGGTAAATGGATGATTGTCTCACTATATATGAATTTCAGATAATTTTACATAGGTTAATTTATAATTTATAAATGAAAATTTCCTGGTAAACAAACATAACTCTGGAAAATCACCATTTTAACGGGTATATCACCTATAAACTGCCATTTTCAATAGCTATGTTAGTTTACCAGAGGGTATAGGATGGGTGAACTGAGTTGCATGAAAACTCATAGGTTTTGATCCATCTTCAGATCAACCTGTTTGTGGTTCATTTCACTCCCACAGGGGCCACAGGGGGGAAGTATGGAATTGAATCCACGAAAATTGATGTTAAAACCAACACAGATGAAGTGTGAACAACTGGAAATATCGTGGTGATGAGTTGGTGATTGGCATCCACACGTTACGAAGGATTGCAAGAAGAGCTATCAGGAATCTCAATGAGGCCAATCCTGTCCAGTAAAACCCTTACAAATCAGACTGTTTCGGGCTCAAAGAAGGATGTATGCAGAACCAACACGGGTGTTGTGGCCAACCAATATATGATGACACTTCCAACGTATCCAGTCAAAACTAGGTGCTTTCCACTTTTAATGGACAATAACGTGGTTTCTTGTCGATGTTCCCTCCTCTGAGACCCTTCTTATATACAAAACCAATGGCACATCAAATTGATCTGATCAAGCCGCGGAACCATGGGCGGTTCCCCCACCTTGTGGAACTTGGGGATTTCAATGGAATACGACGGGTCCCAAGAGGGAGCCAACAAAAGTCAAGTTGAGGCAGGCGAGAATCTTAAGACATCTCTTGAATATGTACTTGAGGATGTGAGTGGTGCTACTTGGCCAAAGACCTACTGGTGCTAAACGTAGGGAATTTTCGGGAATGATATGGAATGATCCCAGTCATCACTACTAATCATCATCCCAGCAACCCCCAGCAACCCATCCGTCTCCCAGTTTCGTTTAGGTCGGGCCTGCTGGATTACTTTGCCACTGCTGGTGACACCCACAGTCGCAAGGCGACCCGGGGCCCCTGGGGCGGGGTGAATTTTCCAATCGAGATGGATATATGGATGGTATGGGTCATGAAAACAGACATGTGCCGATAGGTTCAACGGCCATTTTTTAATGGCCGTTTCTGTCATTCTGAAGTGATTCTGAAAGTATCACATATCAGAATTGGATCCAAAAATGATAGTGAAGCTGCAGCAGCTTGGGTACTCTCGTAGGTTCAATCTCAGGATCGATGACACTGTGTGATGTTGTTCAAACACCTTCAAATTCCGAAGCTTCTCGAGCGTCAAATTCAACGTTTGATCGAAAAACGATTAGAGACATGTCCAAAAACAGTGCAAGACGTTGTTCCCATTTAATTTTATAGTCCCATTAATGTCCCATTAGTCCCATGAAATCACCATGCATGAAAATCGGTGAATGCCAGGCTCGGCGGGTCTTTGCTTTCAACGACATGCGCCTGAACGCAGGCCTGAACGCTGGCCTGAACGCCGGCGCCAAGCAAAATGGGCATTCAAACATCATGTGACACCAGTATCATCCAGTATCTACCTCCATCCCCAATGTTATACCATTTTTGTTGCTGGGATTTCAGCCATCACTCCACATGGGTGGTTTATTGTTTTATGACCACTAGGGATGATGGTGATTGATCGACTTAGGGATAGGCGATCAAATCCGGAACCTGGTACTGATTCGAATGTTGCTTAGATGGTACCTTGATGTACCTTGATTCAAATAGTGATTGAATAGTTTAAGATGGTAACTTTTGATCGGATGGTTAGAATCAGCCCTTAATCGATGGTACCCTTTCTGAATGCTCACCGATGAAAACAGGTGATGAAACCCACTTCTGCTGGCCCAAAAGGTCGTGGAGACTTGACGATACGACAAAAAGTTAGAAGTGGGAAAGCACACAAGTCGACTCTAGAATTTTCTGGGTATTTTTGCAACTTAGGCTTATGTTCATTGTTTGCCATCGTTTTATTATGGTTTTAACATTGTCATCATCGGATTAATAACCCCTATTTGGATGGTTATATAATTGGGGTGGGGGGTTATAATGTATTAGTAGAAAAACATATTATGACTACAGAGGGGAACTCACTTGAGTCTTGATCCGCTAGGCTAGTTGTTATTCCGTTTTATGCCAGGGTTGACATTCTTCATCAACTCATATCAACTCTTTTGTCTATAGATATACGAAAAAAAAAAACATATACTTGACCATAGGTGTCCCAAATTCCCATTGGTTGGTTGATTAATAGAGGGGTTTGAAGAAACCCCTTTAACAGGTAAATGATGATAGATGGGATTAACCAAACCGACTACCATCTATCAACCCCTTCAATCCCAACCATGACCATTCTGAAGTCAAGCCCCTGGAAGTATCTTCAGAACATAACCCCATGGAATGCGGTGATTGCGACCAACATTGTATTGCAAAAATAAACCCCGCGGATGGATTTACCCTTACAAAAGCCTGGTGAAAGTATCTATGAATTTGGGGTACCTGATTTTGGGATATTGTTCAGATTAGGTGAATACCCGTTATGGTCAAAATAGAACCAGTGAATATTAATCGTTCTAAAAACCATTCGCATCCACGATTGACCAGTATCATCCAGTTACAACCCCATTCCCATTGGCATAACCACTAATTACGTATCCATCTTTTCTCAAGAATACTGTACAGTGAACAATATCAGATATAATTTGATATGATATATCCACATGTTTCCCAATAATGATGCACAAGGTATAACCACATGTACCCGCCGGTAAACAAACATAGCTGTGGAAAATAGACCCTTTATGGATAGTTTACAAATTTACTTACTAACACTGGTGATTTTCCATAGCTATGTCAGTTTACTGGAGGGTAGTGGAACATATATCCCAAATTGTTTTTTGTTTTCCAATTTTCTCTAAGTTTTTATTGTTTGGTATGTATCCACTTTAACCACTCTATATTCACTATATGTTCCTCAATGAATATATTTCAGTGGATAGAAGTATTATCCAGTTTAAAGAAACTATAATGGATATACCGTGATATATACATCTAATATAGTGGATAATATGTTTAAACAAATATATATAGTGACGGACAATCACTTAGAACGTAATTTTTTTTCCAATTTTTTTTTTTCGTACTTAGAACGTAGCAAAATTTCATCACTTAGAACGTAGGGAAAATTCATCACTTAGAACGTCAAAATATCACTTAGGCCCATTTATCACTTAGAACGTAAACCAACACTTAGAACGTGCTAAGTGATTGTCCGCCACTATAATTATGAACAATTACCATATGACGTGACATAGACACGTTCTAAGTGTATGGTTTTCGACGTTCTAAGTGTTAAATCAGTGACCTAGACACGTTCTAAGTGTTAAATCCCCGGTACGTTCTAAGTGATGAATCTTGATATTTGGACGTTCTAAGTGTATGGTTTTCGACGTTCTAAGTGCAAGGCTTAGAACGTAAAAAAAGCAGTAATATTCAGATTTTTTTTTCCAAAATACGTTCTAAGTGATTGTCCGCCACTATATTATTTGCTTTTAATTAATAACCATAATTAGATATGGCTTTGTCGAAAATTGGCTACTCTCCAGGCGACAAGGAACTGATCCACCGCTTGGCCTTGCTGCGAGGCAGTGTCAGGGGTAGCTTTAGCTGCAAAATGTGGTTGGTCCAACCAGATTCAACCAGGAAGCATGTTGGACATGTGAGATTTAGCCGGTTTTTGATGTTTTTGGGACATGTTGAAATCAGCAAGATGCGGATTTCGCTGCAAAAATTGGAAATCTGGGAGCAAAATTTGGATCAAAGCAGCAAAATTGAGACATTTCACCAGCTTAACCATGCACAATTCGGATTTAAGCAGCAAAACTGGGACTTAACCATGAAAAATGGAAGTATCATAGGGATATACAATGATATACCACCTGAAGGCGTATTAGAAAGCTTATGGCACAGAGCACTGGCTGCCCAAGCATCACTACGCACTTCATCTTGCAACACTCTACAGTTTTCACACGCAGAACCTTTTGTTCGTGTTGGACGGATGAGAGAGTCCATCGTGAAATAGAACAATACGCGTTGCAAAACCCGAACACTTCTGCTGGCTTTGAGAAGAGTATCGTGGTCGATGCGTTGTACTTGCAACTGACTGAAGTACAGTAGATTTCTCTTCTGCAGACCGGTTTTCTGTCGGTACATATGGGGGTTTCCTAAAATAGTGGTACCCCCAGTCATCATCCATTTATAGATGGGATTTTCCCTAAGCTTATAAACCATCCAGCTATTGGGTATCCCCATTTATGGAAACACTCATATACTTTTTTCAGTGCAGATTGCACAGTGCATGGAACTATGTATTACAGTGCTTCGCTGCAGGAGGGCGGCGATTTCGATTTTTTAATCAAAGCATGCTTTCAGAACATACTGGTATCATCTTCATTCATGAATCAGGGGTATTAAATCTTAGAAAACATATAGATATATCTATATATATATTACTGTTTTTTTTTTAAAAAATGTTGATGATTAAATCATGGTTAAAACACCATCGTTGTTTTAAGGCCTGGCTGCCAGTGGCTGCCAGTATGCCACGTTACTAGGCCTCGGATCTAGCTGCTATATGTGATCCATCGAGAAGTTTAGCGAATGTTGGTTGGTTTATGTTGATTTATAATATCATAACTAAAGAATACTAAATAATATGTTTCTTATATGTATCATCTTTATAGTTTATCATGTTTATCATGTTGGATTAGGGATAAAAGATACATGTTTCCCTATGGATCCAACCGTACCTTCTCAGGAAGATCCAGGAAGTATTTGGGCTATGATTTGGGGGGTGTCTTGTCCTTTCTCAGAAAGTGTTTGGATCCATAGGGTTTGTTGGTTTATGTTCACCCCATTCGCCAGTTCGATTTATCTCCCATAGACCCAATGGTTCAATGGTTAACCAATCGTGAAGTGAAGTTAACCAGAGAAAACCATCGTTTGCAGGCCCGCCTTGTAGGGGTTGAACCGTTGAATCAACTATTTTGATGCGCCATGTGCCATGGATATAGACATATTTGCATAAAAAAAAGGATGTAACCAACAAACAATATGGATTTTACTCGTTTGACCAACAAGTATAGTGGATATATGGGGTATACAGCCAGCCATTCGATGGTGATATGTTGCTGAAATGTTAGCAAATGAGTTTTTCCCAAAATTGGAGTACCCTAAACCCATGGGTTTTGATGCTCAAATAATCCCCCTTGGGATATTTTGGGGGTACCCCTAGTGTAGGACACTCCTGAGTTTGCATTGAACAAGATAACCCTTCACAAGTGCAATTACCAACTGGAATTTGACCGCTAAGTATAGTCAGTGTATATAGTCCGGACATGAATTGGGAACTGGTGAGTTCAGTGGGCCCGCAAAAAAAAGCAGAGATATATTCTGCACGTTTTCTATCGTTTTGTTATTCCACCATGTGTTGTGGTGCACACCTCCCTTCTTGTTGGCGAAGTGAACATCCGCCATTTGGTTCCCTGATTTACCAACATTTTGTGTGATTTTCCATACTATAGTATAGCAAAGTGTTACAATCACCAAAAGGGGGGAATCCCCATGAACTCCCATGAAGTCACCATTTCTTGATAGATTTTCTGAAAATCTGCGTGCGCGACAGGATGTGTTTCCGGTAGCTGCGTGCCCGATTCTGCCAGGTGGGAGATGATCAAATGTGGAGCAGCATGGTAGGAGGTTTCCATAGTCATGGGGGTACCCCTAAATCATCATCCATTTTTTTTGGAGTTTCTATGAAATGAACCATCAAGCGATAAAGGGGTAGCACCATGACTATGGAACCCCCCAATTCATATCCAGCATGTGGGATGGTGATATGATGGTTTTGATGGATGGTGATGTTTTTTAGATGGATGGTTTATGATGGTTTATGCTGTCTTTTTTAATGATGTTTTTTTAAATGTAGGAAAACATCATGAACACCATTAATATAATGATGAGATGATATGATGGATAATGTAGAATCATGATGGTTAATGCTGGTTCATGACATATATCATATTAGATAGTAGTTTTAAACATCTTGATATTCATGGACATCAATCGGGTAATGATGGTTAATGTAGAATAATGTTTTTTGTTTTCATGGATGTAATAGTGCCACGGGAGACACTTCATGGGGTTTCAACAACCGTCAAAGGTGCCTCCCACCAACAAGGCCCTATTTAATGTTTATTGAGCACCAGCATCATTTTTGTTGGATCCCATGTTTGGCCTATACACTGCCAATTCTGCCCTACTATATCCCAATGTTTTGTGAAAATCCATTTGATCAGTGTTCAAACCCCATTCCAGTCCATCCCAGTCAAACACATTTGAAATCCGGTTTGCCCAGTCTCATAACTCAGAATTTGGTGATTGTTTATATGGTATGAACTGTGTTACCTTATCAAAGATGGAGCTCATTCCAGGACCCAGGTGCATGTCTCACTGCAGCTGCAGTTGAATTGAAATGCTCATTGTGGATAAACTACAACGACTGTCCTGACATCACTAAGATTTCAGGTTAGTGAATTAATATATGAATTACTATCTCCAGATTCAGCATGTATGGAATATTTACAATGCTCCATGTATTGAATTCCTATACTACTTGATACATTTAATACTATGGAGCATTACTACATTTACAGTGACTATGGAATATGACTTTCTAATGGTACATGAGTGATGAAAACATATGAAAACTATGGAGCAGTGAAATCTATGGAAATACCCTCTGGTAAACTAAGTAACTATGGAACATCACCATTTTATAGCTGGGTAAATCCACTATTTCTATGACCATTTTCAATAGTTTTTTGTATGTTTACCAGGCCGGGTAACTATCCATAAATTAACCATTCATTATCCATAGATTAACCATAGATTATCCATAAATTAACCATAGATAAACCATATGTTTACCAGGCCGGGTATATGGAATCTTCCTTTTTTCGAAATGGTCCATGGAAGGCTCGGCCGCTACCTCACCGGTGAGGCCGAAGAACTCGGGGATCCATCGAACCTGGTGGGTTCCTTTCCGGTAGCCCTAAATCATCAATTGGATCATAGGATGTTCATTGGATGTTCCATGATCCAATGGATGTTCCATGATCTAAAATGATATAAACCATCCGTTTTGAGGTATCTCTATGGAAAATATGGAAATGGAACCCCCCAAATCGACAAATTTTGAGACTATCAGGTTTTTTGGGGTGATTTAACATGAGTTAACCAACACAAGTGCAGATCTAAGCGTCGATCGATTGGGAATTCACTTTGAATTAACAATCAAATTATAGTGTGTTTGTACGCAATCATCGTATTTTTGAGCTTTGGATAGGTATAACATGTATAACCATTTTGTGCGATACCCGTGCCTTGTTTGGCAGTACTGGGCAGAGAAGTCATTGAAACACTATATCAATCGTCGGGAAGCCGTTGAAGGGGTCTCGGTCACTGGGATGGCCCGTAGTACCGCAGTGGCGGCAGTGACGGAAGTTTCAAAGATAGGAAACCACACTGTTACTGCATCTGTCCATAAGTCGGAAGTTTGACTTCTAAATTTCCTTCGGTCACCAATTATTATAGTAATCATTCCCATTGACTATAGATACTTTCCATTCCCAGTCATAAACTTACCATTTTGATCGGTGGTAAAAACCATTAATATAATAATGATACTCCAATTTGTTTGCTGCTCAGCTCACAATTTTGGTCGCTGAAATACGCTGAAAAATCCAGCACTCGCTGATGGGTATACACCACATTTTGGTGGGTTTCACGCTCATAATAACTTTGCTGGTAGGCCCAAGTCGATCCAAGTCGTGTTGCTTATCGACCCTTTTTTGGCCTACATCGCTTACATCCAAAGATTCTTGCTTGAAACACAGTTGAAATCCAAATTTGGTTAGTTAAACCATGTTAAACCCCCCATGCCTATTTCTTGCTGCTGAACAGCCTTAGCTACATGCAGATACAGTATGGCAAACCGAGTGCAGCCCATCCCAGTAGGCAACGATGGTTGGGTCTAACGTACAAAAAATCCATGGGAACCTCCATGTACGCTGCGTGCAGCATGACAAGTGCCGTGCTCGTTAGTTTCGAAAGCAGTGGCGAAGTGCTTCAGGTCCCATTGCGAGAGCTAGCTCGAAAGACCCCATTGCAAAAGAGCAATTTGAAGAGTGTCAAGAAGGCGGCAGAAGCGGACGAAAGAGACCTTTGCAAATAGCTCGAGCTGGAGACTCCGCTACCTGGCAGGGCCGTGCAGAGAATAGTAGCCAAGCACCGCAAAATCGTTGCAGTCGCCGGAAAACTCTATTATTGTAAACCTAAATGATGGTGGTGAAACTTTTATTTTCTGGTGAAATACACGTTTTGATCAAAACAGAGATGCGTCTTATTGCTGGCCTTCTTTTGTAAATAGTTCGCTAGATCTACGATACACCCAAGACAAAAGGTTGAGGGTGAAATCTCTATCTTCTAAACATGTTTAAACACTGTTCACCACATTAACATACAAAAGCAGCACTTGGAGATATCTAACCCAATTTCATCAAGGTTAAACCATAGGTAAACCATAGTTCAACACACACTATACTTAAACCACTGTTAAACAATAGTTAAACCATAGTTAATGCCATAGTTCAATTCTAGGTAAACCATAGTTTTAGTTAAAACATGGCTGGTTGGTGGTTTGGAACATTTTTTTATTCCATATATTGGGAATGTCATCATCCCAACTGACTAATATGTTTCATAGGGGTTGTTTTACCACCAGCCAGATATATATATATAAACCATCATTAAACCATATATTAACCATATATTAACAGTATATTAACCCTGGTTGGTGGTTTGGATGAACCATCTTATAACCTTGGGATTCAACCATAGGTTCGACCATAGAATTCAACACTTAAATCCATGGCATTCGCCATCGCTAGGTGCCTGAGCTTCTCAGCGCTTTCCCAGGCCTTGCGGCATTGAGGTGCCGGGGCCGGCTCCGGTGACGGAAATCCCGGAACTGATCGGTCAATCTTACGTACATGTATGGTTGAATGGTATGGTTTTCATATATATATATATATAATGGTTATGTAAAAATATGTAAAAATGATTAAACATGTATGGTTTATAGTCCTACTATTAATATATATATATAAATAATATGTGGTTCATTTGTGGTTGATTTCTAAGCCACTATTGCAAAACTAGTTCAACTTATCTCCCCAACTGGATGGATCACAATGCAAAGCATCAATTGATTGGTGGAAAACAAACACGGATTAGGTAGCCATTGGATATATAGCTGGTTGGTGGTTTGGAACATTTTTTAGTTTTCCATATATTGGGAATAATAACCCCAACTGACTTTCATATTTTTCAGAGGGGCTGAAACTACCAACCAGATAGTTAATCAGTCAATATGATATATAGTCAACTAGTTGAACTATACCATAAGTACCAACTAGTTAATATCGTTCATATACTTTATATAGTTTAATATAGTTAATGTATCGTCATGTGGTCGAAACATACCAATACTATTGAACATCACCATTTGATAGCTAGTAAATCAACGAACTGAATGGTCATGTTCAATAGCTTTGTTAAATTACCAGAGTGTAACTATCAGCTAGTTAATATAATCAATATTGGCAATATATATATATATATTATGCAGTGCATATATATATATATATAATAGTATATACATATTTAATATAGCCAATTATAGGTATCATCACAATATTTACAGAAATCAAACATGGCACTTGACATATCAAATTGTTTTACTAATATCAACTAGTTACAACAATATAAACTAGGCAAACATGATTGTCATAATATCAACAAATTATACTACTAGACCATGTTGAAGAATATCCCCCAAGAACTAGATGTAGATGAGGTTTCTAGGTGCAAGAAATCATCAAGTAAATCGGAGGTAACTGGGACAATATGGGACATTATGGGGATACAACGGGACAATTCCGTCGGTTTGATGATATAGCTAGTAGTGTTTTTTTTAACTAAACCCACTATTTTTTGGCAGGGGCACACAGTTGCGTTCACGCAGCGGCCTGTCTCATGCATTCGGGGCATAGGGTCAAAGCCTAGCCATCATGGCCAATAAAAAGGCCGAATTCAGAGTCCTGCATGCGTCTCACCAGCTGCAAGAACTCCGTTGGCGCCGTGGTTGGTGCCTCATCACAAGGTTCACCCATGCCACGAAAAAACGCCTGGGCTAGTGCTCGGCACATAGCCGGGGGGTATTCTTTAAGCGGAGCAGTCAGGAATCCGCCATCAGCACCACGCCCAACTGATTGGCCTTGTGGAAGGTCAGGCGTAAGTCGATGGCCACGCAGATCATCTTCAAGTCCTGATAGTCCCACAACCAGCAAAGAAGTCGGCTTCGGACTGGGCGCTCCCAGGAGTCCTTGGGCCATGGTGATCATCCGGGTGTTGGGCAGCAGCAGGATCAGCTGCACAATCGGAAGTCGCCAGATAGAGACCATATAGTCGATCTCCGGGTCCTTCGGGTGCTCAAGGACCCCCATGCCAGCATAAATGGCAAGGAGGGTCATACACTCCAAAGCGAAGCCAAGCAAAAGGTTGCCCATGATGATCTGTTCCATCTCTCGCAGCCGAAGAGACGGCAGTCCCCATGGCTCGTCCACATGTCGAACAACACGCGGCCCTCCTTTAACTTGGACATGTCGAGCGCGACTCCAGGTGTTACACGGGGGGCCGCCCAAGAAGGCAATCACCCATCCCTGTGTAATAGCGTGCAGCCATGTGGAGCGTGTACCCTCACGTCCAACGTCTCCGTAGATGGGGTCGATGATGATGTCGAGGGAGGCGACATGGACGGTGCATCCAGCGTGCTTCGCTGCTAAGATGTTCAAGTACCATTCCACATCTCCACGTCGACGTCGCCCGGAGAATGCATGGAGTAGGATCCTGTGTCGTCCCACCGGCCGATGCGGCCCCATGTTGCCCAAAAGTGGGAGCCCTTCTTCAACTAAGTGCTGTGCGCGGGCTTCCCAAAATTGTACATGATCTCCAAGCTTGCCAGTGGGCTGCTCTTTATCATCCGTGAGGAAGGTCCATGCACAGGGCTCCGCAATCTCTTGTAGCAGCTGCTTCAGATCATTGAGGGGGATGGCCACATCACCCAAGTGCTCCTCCGTAAGATCTCCGCAGAGCTGCTCCAAGGTGCGTCTGCATCTCGTCCATGAAATTGGTCGCAGGGTGACAACCTCGCAAATAGCCTCTTTAGCTGTTGCTACAGTGTCGCTATTGAGGATGGCTTCATAGCAGGCTTCATAGGTCTCGAGGTCAAAGTCGAGGAAGTCATGCAAGGCGCCGGTGGGCTGGTGCGGCCCCTGAGCTAGCAAAAAGGGCAAGGCCCCATCATTGGCAGCAAGGAGCTGATCATCGGTCTTGGAGCCCTGTCCCGCCGCCGGTGTGCACCGAGTGCCACGTGCAACCAGCGTACGACGACAAGCATGTGCATGACGTAGATGTGCCAGTACACGTGAGTGTGAATGGTAATTGCGCAGGCAGCAAGGACAGCTCGTACCATCGAACAAACTGCGCGCTGCTGCACAAATGCCATGTCGTTTGAAAAGATGCACACCCTCACCAGCTCGGCTCAAAAATTTTTGTTTGCACTGCATACAGCCAAAATGCCCCATGGCCTCAGAAGGGGCCTGTCTCAGGAGGGCAGGATCCACTGCACCAACATTCTCAAGGTAAAGGAAAATCCGTCGATGAAAATTCGCCACGATGTGCTCCTTCTTTCTCTGTTGGGAAGCATGGCGGACTCCTCTGTTGATGAGTTTCTTCCAATATCCTGGATAGTGCAGGATAACCTCCTCCCATGCAGCAAAACGGTCTCCAGGATGTCCCAGGGAGGTACTGTTTTCAAGTTGGGCCCAAAGCCATTCCAGGTCGGTGCGCAACAATGCTAGCCAGCTGGAGTCCTGATTGATAAGGCCCCAGCAGATACTGGAACCGGCTTGATACAAAGTGCCCAAATATCGTAGCCGGGCTCGTCGAAGAAGTTCTGCAGGTTGTGGCAGTCCTGTGGCTTGTAAAACCTCCTCATCACTGCGGTGGGCATCATGCGCTCCATCAAATAGTCGACGATAAAGCCGCATGACACCAGCGTGAAACTGTCTCCGACTGCGATGACAAGAGAACGTCCATGACTCCAACCCATACGCAAGTTTGCTCGATACGAGGGTCTGGAACAGCTCGATGCGTTTCCACCAAGTCAGGTGGGGATTTTTGTAGAGCAGTTTCTTGTGCTGTGTGATGGCACCGTGGGCGATACTCAAACGCCTGGCAATCTCACTTTTTGTGACGTCTCTATGATGGATGACGCCGCCCAAATGAGTATACCGGCTCACAACGGTCAGCTGGTGTAGGCCCGTTTCACACATGACAGGAAAGGTGGCCCCTGTAGACTGACTGAAGAAACGGCGCCGATGAGCCCGAGATCCACTGCCACAAAAACTGGGCATAATTTCTGTCTTGCCCTTTCGGAGATTCGGTTCCATGCAGTGACTTCGACAGAGGTCAATAAGCATGCCCGCAGCGACACCAATTCTTTGGCTCAGGGCTGCATTGTCTTCTGCGGATAAGCACACGCAGAGGTCATCCATCCAAGTTGGGCCTAAGAAGGCCTGGGGTGGACCTGCATGCTGGCCGGGCGAATCCGAATTTCCATCATGCCATAGCAGGCCATGTTCTTGAGGAAAGTGATCTAAGATGTTCAGAGCCACAAGTTCCTTCTCCAGTTGGCGGAGGAGCTTACCCCATAGAAAGCCAAAAATGACGTCGGCGAAACCATCACCGGGCCTGGATCCAAGCTCCGTGCGCACAACGTCTTCTTGGTCGTCAACGACAAACCACGTGTCATGGTGAATGGCCTTCAAGAGGTTCTGCACATGTGCAGGAGCACCCGCAAGTTCCAGCGCAGATGGTCTGCTCAAATGCGCGTAGAGCTCCTCCAAGTCGGAAGGCTGTAGGCCCAGTCTTGCAATCATGTGCTCAATACATTGATCGCTGAGACATCCGCCAACTGCCAGGGGTCTGATGACGCGATAGAAAGCTTCCGTGAGATCAAGAAAGATCATAGCTGAAGGTCTTTTCGCCGCGCGATGCAGGCGCAGATATGCCCTTGACATATGCAGGGCTCCCCCAACCGGCATCTTTTGTCTGCCACCAACCTGTTGCCCTTGTTGGTAACTGGCATACAGTTGGTAATGGTGCTGGCGTAAGGCCCGGTGCAGCGTCTTCCCCACATGACTGGAGATCAATAATGATCGGTGGGATGAGCATTCACGAGGGTCTCCTTTGTTTTTGTAAACATGCACCAATCGCCCACCTTTATGAGTCACAGCTTCTTGCCCGTGGACACAGGCCTTCATCATCATGGCATAGGTGAGCCTGGCCATGTCCCGAGGAAAATAATGGCATAGTTCCGAAGGGACACCATCAAGGCCCGTCGCCTTGCCCAAGGAGACTCTCCTATATGCTTGCTCAAGCTCAACCAGAGAAGGAATGTCCTGCAGAGTCATCGCTAAATCTGGTTGCTGCTGGAATTGTCGAAGGCCCTCTCGCCATTTTGTCCATTGATCATCCAGGCTGATCTGCTGGCCTCCTTCCATTTGACCAAAAAATGATATCCAGCGATCTCGAGCTTCTTCTCTGGTCTCGCAGATGCCTCCATCTGGTTTGCGGACCATGGGCAATGTGCGAGGACGTGCATTTTTGAGGTTGGTCGGCCCGATGAATGGCTTGAGGCGATGTAAGATCTCGCCAGTGGCAGCATTGGCATCAAGGGCATCCAAAACTTGGTCCAGATGTCGCTGTTTTTCAGAACGCAAGCATTGACGAAGACGTTTCCCAAGCTGATGGAAACGAACATATAGTCGAATAGAGCTGCAAAGCCAAGTGGTCTGGAAATGCCAGTCAGCGAGCATGACCTCCTCCCCAATGGGCGCCTTACTTGTCCATGCTTTCCAAATCTTTCGCAGGAGGTGTAGCCTGTGAAGTTTGCTGGAGTCCTTGAGTCGTGAGCGGAGCTCCAGTTTGGCTGATCTGATGGCCCATGTCTCATCAGAGATGTAAGGCTTTTTGGGTTTGCTATGGGCAGGTTTACATGCTCTCCCAAGGTGACCAAGGACCTCTTGATTGAAATTGTTCACATGCGTCTGGATGTCGCATGACCATGGTGATGGTTGCACTTGGTCCAGAAGTCCCTTCGTCGTTGGTAAGCCGATCTTTGCTCGGTCAAAGCGCGGCTGGGCCGATCGACCCTTGGGATTTGTGACATCATGAACAACATCATCCCAGGAAAGCTGTACACCAACTCCAAAATGATCATCACGAGCATTGCCCAGATCCAGCGTCTCTACCACACAGGAGAAGGCGCAAGCTGTGTGAAAGTGAACTGGCAATGCAATATAATCAATGCGTTGTCCTTGTCCTCCGTTGGGGGCAAACCACGTGGCCTGGTCTCCCTGATGGCAACTGCTCGTGGAGGGCAACGTGAGATCATGTGCATAAAGGAATTCACGGAAGGGAGCTGTGTTGGCATTTTCCATATCATCAATCTCCAGGATGTGTGGTGGCGCACTTGGCCCTGTACGGGCATTGGCATCAAGAAACGCAAAAACTGGCATGCCTCTCCTGTAACTTCGGACTAAGGCAGTGGTTTCGGTCCACCAATGAGACCTTTCGTCATCAGGTCTGCCAGTATGTGGACCATGGCCAACAAATAGCAGGCACTTCCAGTTGGGATGCGAGACTCGGACCAAAAGTCTCCTTGGGTCTGCGTGCACAACCTGGAAGTTGTCTGTGTCAAAGTGGAGCACTTGAGTAGAGGTGGCAGTGGTGCGAATGAAGGGCTGGTTGAGGTTGATCCAAAGCTCCACACCCAACTGTCCATTATCCGCTCCACTCGCAAACCTGATGAGATTGTCAACACAAGATTTGCCAGCTTCGCTTCGTGCCTCCTGAATTCCCACAAAGTTGAAGTTAAGGTTCATCACTTGTCGACGTAGATAATGCAATTTGCCACTCACACCATCAGGTCCCTTGTACAACGACATCACATTCACGGACAGGAGGCTGATGTCGAATCTTCCAATGCCTGTGACTGGATCACGTTGTTGTGCAGTGGAAGGTCTGCATGGGGGAGGCAAATCCGGCGGTGTAACTTCAAAACCCTCCAGACCAAGTTCAGGCAATCCTGACCTCTTGTCAAGGAGCATCCAAAAGTATGGAAGAAATGGTTGAAGCCTGCGCAGGTCAACATCTTGCCGAGTAAGTTTCTGATCATGTTGAGCCTGATGCTTGGCAAGGAAGTCCACCATGTCATTCCATGGTTCATTCATGTGGCTGCGAACCGGGTCGACTTGCAGGCCATCTCCCAGTCCAGATTGTAACGCCTGGAAGGTGGATCTCAATGCCACGTAGGCTGCTGTGGCATGATTGGTTCCAGAATCTCCCATTGCCTGCTGGGCCGTTGTAAGGGAGTCCGGCCTGAAGATGGTTGGCAGAGTGCTATTGCAAGCTAAACGCCAAAGTCCTGCCCAGAACATGCCCTCACGCTCCGCATGCTCCGATCCCAGATGGGATGTACCCAAATGGTGTGTCGTGTCCGTACGGTACACAACATTGTGGGCCTGCCAACCGATGAAGTACAAGACCCCTTCCTCGTCTGGGCGTGCATATCGTTCACCGAGGACAAGAAAGGCCCACGCATCAGTGCTGGCATGCTCTTCCGCCCATAAGGGGGGTCGTCTGCGAAGTTGCCCTTGAGAGCTGCCATCTGTATAGACGATGAGCCTGTCCAGCTTGTCCCAGTCCGGGTCTGTGGGCATGCCGGCAAGTGCTATGCGCGTAGTTTCCGGTAGATCAAGATGGGAGAACCATGGGCATAGTATGTCCGTGGCCGAGTGGAAGAAACTTTGGATCAACTCAACGTCAATCTCCAAGACCATAGACGGTGTCCGGCTTGGGAGTTGTTGTAGATCAATCATGGGACCCACAGTTGTCGTGACCTGTGCTAGAGGCCAGGCATTAGCACGCTTTGACTTGTGCTGATGAGTCATGTGCTCCAAGGTCGGGCTGTTGTTGTGGTAGAGAATGCGAGTCAAATGGGATCTGAGATTTTTGGTGTCCAATATGACTGCTCTCGTATAACCGGCACGATGAAGCAACTGCATGTGATCCAGTTCTTGTAATGGTCGCTTCTCAGTGTGAAGAAAAGCAGACTCAGCTTCAGTGTCATGCGGATTCACATAAATGTAGTGGAATTCGTCATCTGATGGGTTCCAAGTCATGGGAACACAAAAGAACTTTCCAGTGCAGCCCATTTGATAGGCATGTGTGGGGAAATGTAAGTCCGCAAGGGCTTGTTCCACTTCATGCTCCATGGCCCCATCCGCAAGAAAAAGTCCGTTGGGCCGCTCCGGAGAAAGAGTGGCCCATATAAGCCGATATGGCACGAGCTGCAGAGTGGATCCAGGCCCCTCTATGAGCTCTTCGAGGCAGAGCGTATGAGTCAGTTGCGGCCCATGGGTGTGAGCCACCTGCCCATGTGTTAGGCGCTCGTCAACTGCTCGTTTGCGACTTGCACGGGTCTGAAGCATGGTCATGCCCGCCGTAGCAGGGGGTCTCATGCTAAATAGCAAGACAAGCCCATATCCATCTCTACCCTGGAGGGGAGTGCCAAGGGTCAATCGCATGGAACCGTACCAAGCCTGGCACTGTTGGGTCGCACCTGCCATCAAGCATTGGTTGGTACGTCCAAGGCTGTGGATCAGCTGCTCCAAGAAGATGTGTTCATGCGTAGTCATCGCGATCTGTTGAGTAGTACCAACTTGTGGGATGGTATGGTCATAGATCGTCAGAAGACTAGTACAAAGCGCATCAGCAGGTCGCTGCACAAGGATGATGTGGGCCACCACTTCAGGTTCCATGTGCGGAGGTGCAGGACTAACGATGGCAAAATGGCATGGTTCATGAGCAATGAGAGTATCTTGCCAAGCCTGTTGAATTTGGTGTTCCCACGTGTAGTAAGCTGCCGTGAGACGAACTGAACGTGGGCGATTGCAGAGTCTACGTTCAGGGTCCTCTTGGTCCACATACCATGTAATGACGATCCCCGTACGTTCTTCACCTTCCCACGAAAACGTTCGATCTCTCCAGAGAGCGTAGAGATCCTGCACGGTCTCATGCATGGTCGTAATTGCAGGAACCGTGGGGGACCATGCTGGTGCGGCAGCATTGAAAAGAAAGGGGGCACATCCCTGATCTGCATTTGGTCTTGGCAAGGTTGTCGTGGTTGTGCTTGCGCCATTGGTATACTGCATGAAGTTGACCTGGTCCTCATTGATGTCAAAGACCTCCTGTTGAAATGGGGTGTCTGTGAAGATATCAAAATGGGTGCCAGGTTGGATAGGCCATACCTCGTCTGCATCCATGGTGTGAACTCCAACAGCCACACGGCACCGAAGTCTGCCAAGGCGGCACAAGAGATGCAGCTCCGATTGTTGCAAGACATCATCTCTCGAGAACCGTCTGCTAACAAGTTCGGCAGAGCGGTCTTGAAGTCGATGGTGAGAAGTCCAGTAAACACTGATCAATGTGGCCCGTTCTTCATTGGTAACATCCTGGGTGAGAATCAAATGTCCTCCACCAGGTTCTCCGATAGTAGATGACTGGGCAATGATCAGCTCAGCTGGCCGCCTCGGATTGACACGGTCTCTCCATGTGCTACGCAAGTGGGCTATCCAGCGATGAAAGTCATCTCCCAGAGCCACACGTCTGGATGTGGAACAACGGGCAAATCCCCGGCTACTGAGATACCAAGTCTCGAAGTGCATCACTGGCTCATTCTGTAGGCCTCGCACCTGTAGCGTCGGTTGGTTCCAGACTTCACGTAGGGGCGCCCAGCGGTCATGAAGATGTCTATCAGGACGTTGTAATTCTGGCCCTCCAGTGACAGGTCCAAGATTGGATCGAGAGCAACTGTGGAAGCTAGGTGGGTTCTGCTCGTGTTGTGGACCCAAGTGATGGGTGTTGACATCTAATTGCAGAAGCCCAGCACCATCTTCTGGTTCCACATTCATAGTGACGATGCCGAATTCAACAACACCATCAAAGATCTCTGTTGCATTGACATCAGTCTGAGTATCATCCACAGGGGCAAGCATGAGGTCATGTGTGGCATTCAAATCTGGAGGCAGTGGATTTTCACCTGTGTCACAAAGAGGTCTATCAGGGAAAGCAGGTACTGCCAGGCGAATATAGTCACCATGCGTGATTCGCAATTGTTCTTCTGGAGGAAGTTCAAAAGGCACACGTGTGTTGTCAATCCATAGCCAGCACCTTGGTGGATCTGCACTGCAATGACCATCGTAGCCAAGCAATCTGATAAGTGAACTCCTTGTGATTCGACGTGGAATCCATCGGGCACGTCGGTCAATGAGAGTTGCTGGTCCAAAGCGGTCTTGCTTATACTCCACATCCACCAGAGTGAGTCGTAGAATTGCAGCCGCAGGGAGATCATGTCGTTGACGTAGTAGAAGTCCAACTTGGTCATTGCTGGTAAGATCATCAGGCCCATGCGCAATCGTATAGATCCAATCAACTTGAGAAGGATCAATGCGAAAATGGCGGGCAACTCGATGATACAGTTCACGACCATCATGCCATGGGACTTCAAGATCAACTTCCTGCCTGTCAAGTGTGAAAACTCTGACTGCTTGCCAGTAAGGATCACTGGTCAAGGAGGAGGTCCCAGTTCCACTATCAGAGGTGAGCATGTCATCCCCTGAGACTTCACTGCCACGGCCTCCGGTGTTGAATCTTGCCGTGTGCGACCGAGCCATCAAGTTCAGTGCGTCCTCATCCTCCTCAAAGAATCTCGGGGGCTCTGTCGCCTGAAGTCGAATCCGCTCAACCAGATAGTTTTCCCATTCCTGCGGTGGCATAGGTGGTGGGACGTCCAGCATGAGTCCTAATCCGTCATGAATGCGGACAGGGCGATGGAGTGGATATTCAATGCGGCCCACACAAACTCGGCAGACTCCAAAACCTCGATCACTTCTGTCATTGCAGAGCTCGAGTACACCACCATGTAGGAGGAGTTGATTTCGGTCGATTGTCGTCCTGAATGAATGGGCAATCTGTATCGTTTGGAAGGTTGGTACATCAGGAATCCATGCCGTGGTCAAACAAGCAGCTCGGGTCTCATCCGGATGTTGTATGACCAGGATAGTTCCTACAGTGTCACGTTGAACAGTGACAGGAGGTTCAGGAACCACAAAGATCACTTCGTAGTCTCTGTTGGGATCAAATTGATCAGCCCCGACAAGCGGAACTTCTCGTTGCCAATTCCTGAAATTTCCATTGAATCTGACAGGACGGCCATGTTCTTGTCGCTGAGCTGTCAAATGACTGATGTAGTATGAATTGATGTAACAGACTGGTCCTTCATCATCTGTTTCAGGAACTCCTTCTTCGAGAAGCCGCTGCCAGACATGGTGGATCCAGGCTGGGAACTCCGCAGAAAGCGGTGGTCGATTCAAGGGTCGGTCTCTCCGAATTCCATGTTGGCCTTGTCCAGAGGTCTCAGGAGTGCCAGCTGGAACATGACCAATTGGATGGCCTGATGTATACACAATGCAAGGCGGCCAGGATGAAGAAGATGTCATTGCAAAATCATCAGCAATTGCATGCGTCACCCAAGTCTTCGCTTGCTTGTCAAAATCAACATCAAAGGCAGTGGAACGTAAGGCTTCCGCCAGGAGCAAAGCCTTATTCTGCGCTTCCCACACGCTACAGAAATCAGCTTCTTCCATGACAGAATGATGATACGGAAAAGGTAGCATCTCAGGCATCTTGGTGGAGAAATTTTCCTCAAAACAGAAGTTGCAGTATCCCTGTTCATCAGTCTCACTGCCCTGTGCTGCAAACGTGACTGTGGGCCAAAAGGACACTTTGCAAAACCTGTCATGTCGCTGCCCCTCGTCCCTCCTACTGGGTGTAGAACACCCCAGGTAGGCCTCAAAACTTGACGCATGAGGAGTTGGGGCTAGGCGGAATCCCGTGATTTCTTGTCGGCCGGCTCCACAACCTCGACTTCTTCTAACTCTACAGGGGCCTCTCTTGGTCGCGAGCGCGCCCTCTTTCTGATTCTCTCCTCGATGGTGGTACGCACTTGCCGTACAATGCCTGTGAGATCTTCCTTGATCTGCACAAGTTGTGATTCTGATTCTTCCGGCTCGTCGACAGACATGGATGCGTCCAAAGCCTCTTTGGCATTCTCGATGTCGTGTCTTTCCAAGCCACCATCTTGCTCCATTGTACGCTGGTGTGCCTCGTGCAAGGCGCTTCTGGTGGCCTGCAACTTCTGAAGGGCCTCTTTGCGTCGTGCTGCGAACTTGTTCTCGCCATCCTCGAATGACTCGACATGGCTCATCCACATTTGTGAGGCCTTGTCTAAGTAGTTCGCCCATTGATTGCGATAGGCCTCCCATTGTTCGTCGATCTCGTTCAGCTTTTTCCTCATGGTGTTGAGCTGGGAGACCAACTGGCTGTGGGTTTTGGCATCCACCTTGCGCACATTGCTCTCGGTTGCTTGTACCACTTTTTTGATGTCCTCCGGCAGGTTGGGCTTGTTCTTGATCTCCTTGTACATGTGTCGCAAGGAGTGCAATTCCGCCTCGTCCTTGCCAAAATTCGGCTTGGCAAAGGGCTGCATGGATGGAGTTGAAGTCATACCCATTGCCGTAGGGGGTGTCATAGTGGAAGGAAGTGCCTGTGACTCCATACTGGCTGGCAAAGATGGCGGCAAAAGCCATTGTGTGGATGGGGCAAAATGTTCCGCCCCTCCTCCTTTGCCCTTGCCCTTGTGGTAGTCCACATGATCTTGATCTCCTTGATGCTTCTTCCTTGACTTCGGCCGATTCTGACGTTGTCTGGGACTCTGCGTCCTTTTCCTGGGTGACTTGTTTCCATCTGTCGGCCATGGGTAATAACCTTCCCATGAGGCCTGCTGCCAACCTCCTGTGTAATTGTCTCCATGGCCTTGTCGATGCACATACGTATTGTCGTGGCATTGTCCCCAAAATCTCCAGCATCCGCCGCACTGCGCTGACTTTCCTTTGACCAAGCGCATGCAAAAGCGGCATCTCCATGGGTCGACCTTGGCCTCCATTGTTTCCTTGATACGGGCAATGAGCCGTGGGTCCCTGGAGTGATGATTGTTCAAAATCCGGAGAATGTTCTGGAGCTGTGCCACCCCCAGACGTAGAAAACCTCGTCGGTAAAGGTGCCAATTCAGGCGGGCTTGTGCCCTCTGTCTTCTGAATCTCCTTCTCGAGGCTGGCGTAATTCTGGATGACGTTCACGTAGAAAAACACCAGAAAAACCCTTGTAAACATGTAAATAAAATCCAAGCCAAACGAGAGATCAGTGTGCTCGCCCCTGCCAGCAGAGATCAATCCCGAGAGATGGAAATAAATACAGTTGCTTTGACCCGGTTTATGGCAGTGCACCGGGTGAACCAGACGTACCCAAAGTCCTCAAGGATGTGGTAGAGGAGCTCGGGGAACAGGTAGAGCTGAAGCGATGGCGTTACGGACCTGCACAGGATCCGCAGAGCGCAAGTGCGCGACAGCAGCAAGGCTCCAGCAGCTAGCCAATCGCTGCAAAGAGCCCGCGGGTCGGTGGTCACGGAGACCCGCTAAGGTCAGGGGCGATACAGCGGTCGTGGGGAGCTGAAAGCCCAAACCTTAAAACCCACTATATATATATATAGGTATACATAAAACTAGTCGGTTCATGGTTCTAATCCCATTTGACTTTCCTATACTTTAATCAGAAAACTACCGTAATCATAGGCAGATTTAGTGGGATCATAATTGGTGGTCAATTACTCCCATTACAACTGGGATGGATCGAGATCCTGGGGGAAAAAGCGCCAGGGATTTCAGCATGGGCCAAGCAGTGCGGAGATAGGTGTATAATATGTGTATAGTATGTGTATATAACAGGGATATGATACGGGGTATAACAGGGATATAACAGGGATTATATTATATATATATTAGACATATCATCCATATAAGATGGAGGTGGAAATTGAAGAAATGATGGGTTGGTTGATGCTTACCATTTCATGGGGTTATGAAGGAGATACATGTAGCTTAGATATTTCATGTAATAAAACAGCAAAGGCATGTCAAGACCAGTGACACATTACAGTATATGCTGCACGGGTTTTAACCATCCAAAGCATGGGGATCTATGATAATATATACATAACTGAACAACATCAGTTTTTCTTGAAAAGTCTTCTAGTTTCAAGGTCATAGTACACTGAGAATGTTTTATGGTATCAGTTCTTGTTATATGAACAACGGGGCTTGAGGACTAAGGTGACGGCTTATATTGTTTCACCCCCATGACTGGGCCTCCAAGGCCGATCTTGCGCAGCCGAACCTTGTGTTTCAATCTAAAAAAAAACGGTTTCGATTGGCCAGAGACTTTTCTTTAAGGTAACGCTATGCAACGCTTGTAATTAATGACAAAAAGAAACCCTTGGAATTCAATCAGCAACAAAACGGAAGCTGAGTTGCCAATCAGGTTGATTCTTACCAACCAATGCTCTATTTATTGAGTAATTAACAAACGCCGCAACCAGGATCAAGGTGGAACATGTTCCAGTCAGATGTTTTTTTAGAGATTGGCAGCGCTCATCAAACAATCATGGATAAGTTATGATAAGTTCACTATAGCCAATATGTTTGATGTGTTTAAAAGGAACAGGGATCAATTGCAGAAAAAGGGATCAAACAGCGGGAAGACTTGAACCTGATAGAATTTCTTCGTTTTCCACAGTTTTGTAGCCCGAAATACGAGTTGTTTCTATGGTTGTTTTCATGGGTTTATCCTTCCATAAATGGGCTTGTAACTGAGTTATAACTGGTACTTGTAAAGGATAACTGCAAGAAACAATTGCACATGGTTTCTGCGGCAAGGCAAATTTACCGGCAACGATGTGACTTAAACAAGTTCACATTTTGGCGTCTCAGTTTCTGTCGTTACTGGCACCATTCCCTGTTTTTTCCAAAATCGTATCTGTTTTTGGTGACATCCGTAATGTGTCAATTATGTCATACCTGTGACATCCATAAATCGATGCCACATTTTTTGCTGTTTTGCCAAGAACATCGGGATTTAACGATGGACCTTGGGAGACCGATAGGTTGGCGCTTGACCATATTTACCTGGCCTGGTAAACATGGTAAACTAACAAAAAGCTATTAAACAATTGCTAGAAATAGTGGATTTACCCATTGTTTCAATGGTGATTTTCCATACTTATGTAAACGTTTACCAGAGGGTAATTTAGACTATGTGTGTTAATTATCTACTGGGGACACTGACTTTCCTAGTGACGCGCTGAACATATTTGGTGGCATTTTAGCATTTTCAACAAATTAGGCACTAAAAGGCAAACCTTACCAGTCTCACGATCAATCGTAAAAACGGACTTGGCACCACAGTGCGCTGAAACTACGCAAAACTTCGCTCAAATTACGCAAATCATGATGGCTAAACAATTTAGTTTCAAAAACGTTGATCCTGAACGTGTTGGCATGACAAAGACGGTCATCATGCAACACATATCCCGGGGAGGACTGAATGATTATGTTGCAAAGATAAATTCAAACAGAGTTGTTAGTTTATTTGCTGTCAACTGCGAACCTCTATCAAGTTGAGATGTCAACGTGTACAAATTATGTTCCCTCCAATTTCAGCGCCTCGAGCACAAAATCACTTCAAAATCACAGATCGCAAAAGACATGTTTTCTGCAAAACATTTTTTTTGGGGAAGAAACGGCAATCATTATTGTAGTCTCGCAAAATTATTTTTTGGGCATGTTTGGATGTTGTAGGTGTATTTCTGGTTGTGCGCCTCGTTTTTTTTGAGGTATAATCGGCACAACTGACAAGTCCTATTGGGATGTTACCACATGAGGCTGTTTCCAAAATAAATATGTTGTTCGTATTCCTGCTTGGCACTTGGGAAGATGGTAATTTCAGTTACTTTCAGGTTGAAGCCAGTTATTTTCAGTTCAGAACAGGTTGCTTACCGACCACGGAAGATGGAATTGAGGCTGTCATTTCGTGCAAGATTGGAAGTAAGGGTTTTTAGCCATATCTTAGGTATGGTGAGATTGAAAGTTGAAATTCCCACCTTGCACGTTTGTACTTGGACCTTGTTGAGCAGTCCTCAGCCCAAAGGCCCCGCGGACCATCGTGCAATTTTCATGTGATTGTTGCCATACTGACCCCCACAGGTGCCGCGGAACGTGAGCCAGTACTTGGATATCTTGCATGCAGATCCCAAGTAGGGGGTAGCAAAAATCTGATGCCCAATCACCATTTAGACCATTCAGCAACTTTTTACATAGACTTTTCCATGTTGACATGGAGCTACTCAAGCCATTTTGTCCTAATGGCTCAAGGTTTCCGTGTTTCCCTGCAGATTAACTTCGTCATACTTCGTCTCAGATATGACAATGGTCTCGTGACGGTGCGTTTTTCCATTTTCCAGCGCTTTGCAACGGTGTTAGGACATGGTAAAACATGCGGCGCATGCTCGCACAATATGAACATGTTCGAGCCATACGGTCATTTTCTGCCGCAGGTACTACTCCTTTTTTTTCCTGTTTCACACCCGGTATTATGACTGATTTGGCCAATTTTCCGGGAAAGATCCTGCGCAATCAAACGCGGAACGCAAGAACGGCCGCGTGATCTCCCTAGTATGTGGTTCGACAACTTTAGTAGCGTCTTGGTCCCCCATTTTGTGGTGATACCGACAACGGCTGGACAATTCTGACCGGTCGGCAGGGATGTGACCTTCTTGGTGTGGCAGCCTCAGTTGTTCAAAACACGGCTACTTGGATCATCCGGTTTACTATTTAGTTAGTAGGGTTAGCTCGCCCAGTGAAAAATGAGATAATGTGGGTAAACCAATAATAAACCACCCATCTGGGAATATGTTATACCATCTATTTATAGTGATTTGGGGAACGGTTTACTATTGTTTTGCCCACGTTAATCCAATTTGGGGACTTATTCACTGGAGTTGTTGGGTAAGCAGCAAGAAAATGCAATGATCCTCCAGGAAGACCCTGGCAGTATCTAGAATCAATGGAACAATATACACATTTCCGCACGGGATTTTTACAAATTTCAGGGCTTTAAGGAGAGTCGAAAAAAGTGGACATGTGATAAATCCAAGATGTTTGAAGATGTTCAGGGGTAAAATTGTGTTTCCAATTTCCAATGTTCATTCAGTTGGTTGTCTTGGGTTCTTGACACCGGGAAGGGAGTCACACATGTGGAGACTTGGTTGTCAGATTTTAGCTGCAAAACGATGATGGGTGTCAATAGACGACTGTCTATTGTCCACCAAAATGAACACCCTGACAAAACAATGGTTTATTGGTGTGGATTTGTGCATGTTTGATTCCCAATAAAGAAGGATTGTCACGGTATTGTTTTAATCAGTGATGGGATTGCAGGTGGTTTGTTTCGCGATTTTTGTTGGTTACAAATGTATACTACAGTACACGTTTGTTTTTTTTCTTGTTGGTAATCACTAGAATATCCAGCGTTTTTCCATGGTTATTTGCTATTGTAGCCATGTGCAGCCCTGAAATATCACCATATTTGGTCTTCTGAAAATGCGGCATCCCAAAAATAAAGGATATTAAAATAAAGGAAAATTATGATGAAAAGGTGTGCCCCGATTTTTACAAACAACATAAATCCCAACTTCATTGTTGGACAGTTTATATGCCACTTGGAGATCCATCCCGGTTTAGGATCTTTTTTTTTGCCGACATATTTATATTAATACACTATAATATATATATATATGTGATGATATTCCACTTATAACTGGGGTATTAAAAAAAGGTTGTGGTCCCCTTGCCAGTCCTGGGATGCACCCCAATGTTTTATTTCAGGTTGTTGAATTGTTCTTCCTGACCCCCCAAAAAAACACAATCCTACGTTTGGACAGTTTACTCTTTGGTAACTCAAGATATCTTTGGAAATTCACGTTGTTTGAAAGGTAGTTCATCTATAGATGGGCAATTTTCCATGGCAGCTTCAATTACCAGAGGGCATCTTGACCTCTGAACAGTTTGTTCAACAAATGAACCCCAGGCATTTGTTTCAAAGATGAATTCTATTGCCACATCGCCAGGCAAAAGAAAAAACAAGTCAAAAATCCCAAGGTTTTTTTTTCTCCCCATCGGATCGAAGGTTCTCTGAATGTGTCATGGATATTACCAGAGGATTAATCCGATGAATCCCCAAGGTGCTAAAGTCCACAAAATCCGATATGGTTTTCTCTGAAGATATGGATGCGGGTCAAAATGGAAGACCTAGGGGACCACAGATTGAAATGTCCAGTTACCTAGTTTAGTATTAACCATCCAATTGGGATGGGGTACCTAATTTTGACCCATACCCATATCCCTAAACCCACTGATGAACCATTGATTCACCATGAGGAATCCATTGATTAAACATGTGATTCCCATCATAATCCCATTTTTGGTCCGATATAATCCCCATGGAACCTGGCATTTGGAGGTGTATACCCCAGTTTCACACACGCCATAAATGAAGCCTAGGCATTTGTTGTGCGTGAAGATCACCTCAGCGACGCTGGACATCAGGTCACTGGTGAGCCAAAGATATCGTGGTGCACCGATGGTTGAAAGCCTATAGATCAACAGTAGTGTTTCAAAGGTGGGAGTAAAATGGGATTATAGGTGGTTATAACCAGTTATAGTGATGGTTAATAGTGATGGTTAATAGTGATTAATAGGCTATAAACTAACAACAATGGGAATATGATGGTGATCTGGTTGGTGGTTTGGAACATGACTGGATTATGACTTTCCAGAAACAGTTGGGAATGGAATGTCATCATCCCAACTGACGACCTCATATTTTTTAAAGGGGTTGAAACCACCAACCACCACTTATAATGGGATTACATTGGGATTATAGAATCCTTAGACGCTTAAATCAGGGACTGTAATTGGATACAGCAAATGTTTCACTATACAATAGGTATTACAATTAGATAATAATGATTATATAATCCCATTATCTATAGGATGATCATCGCTGTATTACAATCTATATTACATGTTTCACTATTAATTATAGAATCCTATAGTAGTGAAACATGTAATATAGATTGCAATCCTCTAATTGTAATATCTATTATATAGTATTACATCATCCTATAGACAATGGGATTATAGATTCTGCGATAAGCCACCGATCAACTGCTGCAGGATTTCTGCCACCCACAGTGTTTTTGAGCCTCATATAGTAAGATATCCAAAGTAGCCATAGAAAATTTGGCCACATAAACACATACCCTCTGGTAATTTGACATAGCTATTGAAAATCACCATTTTTAATGGGTAAATCAACTATGAATGGGCCATGTTCAATAGCTTTTTGTATGTTTGCCAGAGGCTACATTCATTTTGAGGGCTGCGCTCGGAGTGTCGTACAACGATAATGCTAAACCTTGCAGGAACATCGTCTTGACCAGTGCTGGTTAGTATCACCGTTATGAACGCTTAAAATGACACATGCAGTTTTACCAACAAACATCAAACACATGCTGCCGTTTATATGGTTTAACATGGTTTAACCATTATTTGACACAAGACACACACACATATATATATATATATACACATGACATATATATATATATATTAATAACTGTTGAACATTCCAAACAGTGAACCGCAAATCACGAGCTCCAAGACATTGCACCCCGGTCTTGCGGACAATGACCAGAAAACAACGACCTCACCCCGACGTCCCGACGTTGATCGTGGTTCATATTTAGACTTGCACCTTTAAATAATCAACACCATTACAGACATAACTGGTTGGTGGTTTCCAACATTGTTTATTTTCCATAATGATAATCCTTCCCATTGACTTTCATATTTTTTCAAGATGGTTAAAACCACCAACCAGATAATGTTTATTAAAAACACTATTTTTATATCACTGTAGACCGGGCACATAACTCCATGATATCAATGTGGGTAAGGCACTAATAAACCATACCCCAGTCATCAGCATTTTCATAGGTGGTATGCTCACCATCTCCTGGGTGGTTTGTGACATTGTTTTACCCACATTATTCCAATTATTAACCATGTTTAACCATGATTCACCATTATGAACCATTATTAACCATGATCAACAATTATTAACCATTATTCACCAGTATTATATATCCATTCACCAGTATTAACCATTATTACAGATATAATCCCACTTTTATTACCCCTATTATTACCCATTTTGCCCCATCCAAAATAATACCGTTCCAGGCGCCCGGACGGCACACCTTGGAATGCCTCAGATTTGCTGCTGAAATGGGAGCAACTTGGAGCATCACCTGTTGGCAAAATGCTGGATTTGCCATTTTTTTGGGTCATCAATGTTGGATGATTGATGCAAAAAAGGGTGAACAATTTGGTGAAGAATGGTCCAAATAAAACGGGAAATCAATTTTTTGGGGGATTTATTTGGACCATTATTCACCATTATTCACCATTTAATGCTGGTGGAGTCCCATGGGAATTTAAAAAAAAGGGAATGGGATTTATTTGGATTGCCATGATAGAGATGCTACTATGGGATAGATCCCTGTTCTAGTTCCCCCTTTTTTGTTTTTACCGTGCTACATGTGGATTTAATATGATTTAATCATCAAACAATGACTTTTTTCAGGAACATACATGGAGAAGTTGGGGAGCCAACCAGCTATGATGGAGATCCGGGAATTAAACATTGGGACAGAATTGGATGAACAACCAAGAATATGATCCAATAACTAACAATCAAATAACAATCACCATCAAATACACCAATAGCAATTTAACAACATGATGGTCTTGATATCAATGTGATCTATTCAGCCATCAATACCAATTTTTCTCAATCAAATTACTAAGCATCACATATGAAGGTTTCAGCAACAAACATGGGATGAATAACCGGCGAACTAACCATCAACGATGTTGCTATAACGACCTCACTGCAACCTCACTAGAAGCGCAGAACGGTGGTGAATCCCCAGCTCGGCTAGCGTACGAGTTCAATAGAACGCGAAGAAAAGCTTTGCTTCACTGAATACCCTCTGGTAAACCAACAAAAAACTATGGAAAATCAACATGTTTAGCGTGTAAATCCACTATAAATGACCATGTTCAATAGCTATGTTAAATTACCAGAGGGTAATTTAGCCAGAGACTATGTCGAACTCTATATAAAATACGACGTAAGGACAAGTTGTGGGTATTGAAGAACCCTTGGCTCTGAAGCTCACACATCCCAAGGAGATCAAACAATGTCGGCAACAGTCAGATGTGATTCTTTCTGGGGGGCAAAATGGGTAATAATAGTGGTTATAATGGTTAAGAATCGTAAATAATTGTTAATAATGGTTGATAATAGTTAAGAATGGTTGATAATTGTTCATATTTGTTAATAATTGGAATAATGTGGGAAAACAATGCCATAAACCCCCCCATTTGGGAATGGTAAACATAGCACCTATTTAACATTGATGGTTTAGTGTTTTACGCATTTTGCAACAAAATACAACAACATACAAAGTGACCTGTGTCATTGTTTTAATGCATGTTGACCCATGTCCCATGTGGCAGAATGGGCCAGTTCGTTGATTTCACTGTACCCTCTGTGTTTTTTGCCAACCAGCTTCAGGTACAATGCAGAGGACCCGGGTACCCCAATTTATGGATCGTTTCATAGAACAAAAACCTGGATGATCACTGGTGGTACCCTCATGACTTTGAATACCTCCATTTACTACGTTTTTTTCTCAGAACTAGTAGCTACCAACTATCATAACTATCATCTATAGCACACTCCAAAAGATTTTTTGAAAGAGCTTGCGCCTTGGGGATTGCGATGCTGGCAATGCATGTTCTTATGGTTTGTGTGACCTAAACCGCGAGGTAACCAGTGGTTGAACTCCAATACTTCTGGGTGACCAATTGCAGAACAGATTCTGGTAAAACTGGGGGATGGTGTGTTATTCAGTTTAACACCTTATATTTTTTTGGAGACCAGCCGGTTTTTTAGGCCTGAGACCAACATGGTCTGCAGCTGCGGACTTTCTAGCCCAATTCCTTTACTAGATAACCCCCAAACAAGGCCACATGTACAGTAGGTAACAAGTTGTTTAACACCCAAAGCTCATGAGGGGATCCAACAAGGTTGGATAAACGACTATGATTTACAGCTTTGTTGGATCCCAAATTATCCCAAGGTAGGGTCATGGTCTATCATTAGCCCATGATCCATATTCATTATTGGTTATGGCAGCCCATCTACTAATCTACTGTTTGCTAGCTTGCTAGCTTTGATTACCTTGGATCCAATATCCAATTTCTTTAGCATAGATCCCCCCAAACGAATATCCAGAAGGAAAATAATCTTCTCTACAGCTTCCACGTGGGATTTCATGTGAAATGTTGTTGCAGTTTGAATTAGATAATAAACATCATATAGATTATTCTATATATATATGACATATGTGTGTGTAACATACTCCTATTTATATAATCATATATATATATTGTTGGTGGTTTGGAACATTTTCCATTCAGTTGGGAATTTTATCATCCCAACTGACGAACTCATATTTTTCAGAGGGGTAGGTCAACCACCAACCAGATATGTATATAGAACATCTACATCTATAAATGTTTTATATGTGACTGATTACCCTAGTTCCAACATCAACATCTACAAATGTTATATATATATATGTGGGATATAATATCTAAGTATATCTACAAAGAACATCTACATCTAATAATATCTATACTTACTTGTGCTTAGTAGGGAATTTTCGGGAATGATCCACAATAACTATCAATAATCATCCCAGCAACCCCCAGCAACCCTACGTAAAACGCACCAGTAAGTATATCTATTTAGAACTGGTTGGTGGTGTGGAACATTTGGATTCTTTTTCCATTTATTGGGAAGAAACATCCCAACTGACTTTCATATTTTTCAAAGTGGTAGGTCAACCACCAACCATATATATATATATATTAACCATCATGAAACCATATATTAACCATTATTAAAAGTATATTAACCACCAACCAGAGAACATCTGTAAACATCTACCTTTTCCATAACCCCATGGGATTCTTCAGGTCGTACAAAGTCGCTGCTCCCCTAGGAGGGTCGCTTGCGCGTGACTGGACTTGGGCGATCCTTAGTGCTTGGAGAGGCTGGGGAGTCAACAATGATGAAAGTTGGGTCAATAGTAACTATTAGGGATATTAAAAGAAAATAGAATAGGATATACATAGTAGGATACAATATGGATGAATAGGAATATATTTGGATATACTAGGATACCAAAGTTGGGATATCTAACATGTGATCATAGGATATAACAGGATATATATTATAGGAATATATTTTGACGATGATAGACATATAATAGACATAATAGAGATAAAATAGGGATATGATGGGACAGAATGAGAGGCATAATCAATTATCATCAGATATCAGGATATCATATAGTAGATATAGTAGGATGTAATGTAGGATATGGATACAACATAGGAGATAACACAGTTATCATATCAAAACAGAGTTGGATCAACAGCATTGACAAAGTTGGATGGATCAACATTCAGGATTCGGGATAGGGATATGGCATTTTTTGGGGGGATGTGACAGGATGTGGGACATGACATACCCGGCCTGGTAAACCTACAAAAAACGATGGAACATCACCATTTTGAATAGGTAAATCAACTATTTCTATGGTACATGTTCAATAGCTATTTTGACATAACCAGAGGGTAACATTTACCGTCCCAGCTTGTTTTTTCACATGAATCGACATGAGGCAACTTTTCTCAAGGGGACAGGGATAATTACTCGGGATACTGGGGATCCAATGAATCTGGTGCCGTATCTGTCATGGCCAGATTAAAAAACATATTGCTGGGCTATTCATCATCATCTAACACAACAAAAAATGTAGGTAAATCTATCCTAGATCTAAGACTCTAAGAACACGATTCATCCGTTCTCTGGGGATATCTCTGGGGATATATCTTTTTGTGGATATTTCATGGGACACATCTGGATAGATTATCAAAATTCAGCCACCAGATGAAACGTTCCAAGCTGGATGGTTTTTTTTGGCTGATTTCAGTGATGTTGGACATATCTTTTTTTTATGCATGAAACCGGTAAAAACAGATAAATTCGTGGAAATTTCACCAACAGTTAGGAGTTGAAGCCAACGGAATGGATGATGGCAAGGAGCATGCCAATTGCACACCCGGAGGAAGAGGAGGCCTTCGATTGGGAGGCGTCGACGGCCACAACATTCTTTGAAGAATGCTGCGCAGACCTATGAGGCGGAGACCAACATTTACCAGACATTGGCTTCAGTCTCTGACTGGCCTCCACCAATGATTGACACCTTTGAGCTCTTCAGCGGATCTTCCAAGTTCACGATCATGGCACGACGATGTGGACCCAACCCGCTTCAACCATTTGATGTTGAGCATGGTCCACAACAAGACCTGAAGGATCCACATGTTCGAGCTGAAGTCGTCAAGGCCGCGAAGAAGTTCAAACCGTGGTTTTTGATCATGGGACTGGACTGTAGACTTTGGAACCTTTTCAATGTGAACCTCAACTACAGCCAGAGGCTTGATCTGTTGCAAGAGCTGCAGGAAGATGAACTTCCTCTTGTGGAAACTCGCATGCCAATTGGCCCTTCTTCAGATTAAGGACTCCAGATACTTCTTGATCGAGAATCCACAGCGCTCTCAATTGTGGAAGCTGCCCTGCATCATCGAGATTGAGGAGAGGCCAGCGGTCTGGAAGACCACTTTGGATGCTGGAGCCTTTGGTGCGACAGTCCATGGGAGGGAAGTGTGAGGAAGGGAAGTGGTGACGAAGGGAAGTGGTGAAGAAGGGAAGTGATGATGAAGTGGAGTGGTGACGAAGGGAAGTGGTGAGGAAGGGAAGTGGTGGAGAAGGGAAGTGATGATGAAGGGGAGTGGTGAGGAAGGGAACTGGCAACCATGAAGGGGAGTGGTGCATGATGTTGCAAGGGCTCTGTATTGGGGAGGAAGCCGGAGCGGAATGGGTCAAAATCTAAAAACCAATATAAACCATACTTGAGGGAACAAAGATCGCCTTACTAGCTACAAAGTTGGGTACCATCGGGTTATGGTACACCCCCAAGTTCCTGGACTGGATCACCTGAACAACCCATGTGCCATCCTAGAATCCGTGGCTTTCACATAGCCCCAACATGTACATCATCCCTGCAATCGAAGATCGGTAGTTGGAGCAGACAGTTTCTGTAGGACTGGTGCAGCGGGAAAAATGGAACAGGAAATCTACATGCACGTGAGTGAATTGCACATGCAGAGCATATCAACACAGCAGAGGCTGTGTCCATAAGGACCGGGCCATCGGATATGATGCTCTTTAAGTCGAATTGTTCGTCATCAAGTGCAATCGATGCTTATCACGAAAGGTAGCTCCAGAGGGGCTACCTTGAGTTTTACTTTACGAAGTAAAGGGGAGGGCGGCCAGCCCCGTTACCTGATTCTTCAGGAGATTGCTAGTCATTTTAGTACCCCCCCCCCCTCCACACCTCCCACGCACCCTAAGAGCAGACTCAAAATACTGTAATTTACAGTATTTTTGTTCTTTTCGGATCAAGAAACCACATTTTGCTACATGGTGAAACCTCCGTAAATACCAGTGTTTTTGCTAGGCGCTGGCCAAAAAACACTGTAAATACCGTGCTTTTTACTACCAGAGGCAAAGCACATCGTAAATACCGTGGTTTTGGGCTTCCGACCCGCCAAAAACATTGGTATTTACGGTGTTTTTTGCTCCGAGCGATGCAAAAACACGCGAAAACACCACCGATTTGACGATTTTCGGCCACTACGGAACCGAGCAAAAACGCTGCAGGGGTAACACCAACACCGACAAGAACAACAGCAACAGCAACAGCAACAACAACAACAACGACGACAACAACAACAACAACAACAACAACACCAACACACAACGCACAACGCACAACGCACAAAGCACAACGCACAACGCACAACGCACAACGCACAACGCACATCACACAACAAACAAAACACGCACACAACACACACAACACACACAACACACACACACACACACAACACACACAACACACACAACACACACAACACACACACACAACACACATACAACACACACAACACACACAACAACACACACAACACACGCAACACACGCAACACACACACACACAATACACACACACACACAATACACACACACACACAACACACACAACACACAACAACACATAACAACACACCACAACGCACAACAACACACCACAACACACCACAACACAACAAACAACACACACAACCACAACAACCACAACAACTACAACAACAACGAATGACAACAATAACAACAACACACAACAACACACAACAACACACAACAACACACAACAAAACACAACAACACACAACAACAAACAACACACACACAACAACAACACACACAACACACAACAACACACAATACACACAACAACACACAACAACACACAACACACACACAACAACAACACACACAACACACAACAACACACAACAACACACAACACCACACAACAACAACACAACAACACAAACACACACAACAACACACCACAACAACACCACAACACACAACAACAACAACACAACAACACACAACAACACACAACAACACACAACAACACACAACAACACACAACAACACACAACAACACACAACAACACACAACAACGCACAACAACACACAACAACACACAACAACACACAACAACACACAACAACACACAACAACACACACAACAACAACAACAACAACAACACAACAACACACAACAACAGCAACAACAACAACAACAACAACACGAACACAACCAATACCAACACCAACAACACGACCAACACCACCAACAAACCCAACCACACCAACAACACTAACAACACTAACAACACCAAAAACCTTACCACCACCAACAACACCAACAACACCAACAACACCAATACCAACAACACCAACAACACCAACACCACCAGCACCACCAACACCACCAACACCACAACCGCCACCAACCCCAACCACATCGCCGAAGCCTTTCATTCGCTTTTACCAGACTCCCCTTCATATTTTTGGAAAGAAACTGGCCGCGTCGCTTTTACCAGACTCCACTTTATGTTTTTTCTTCGCTTTTACCCTGCCCTCTCCCCTTCATTTTTTCTTCGGTTCCTTTCTTGCTTACCTACCTTTCGTGTTCCCCCTCTCAAGTATTTATCTATGTCATATTATGTCATATTTTATGAGATTTATTTGTTTTTTTTAATCTCATATATAGTTCCATGTATACTCTACATATGCGATCCGGAGTGTTTGACATTATGTTGATCACCTCAAGCGCCAGGCGGCGCTCCAACCCGAACGCACGGCTGGGACTCAGAAGAAACGGAGGGGGCTGGGGAGGTAGATGCAGGTGTTCATGTTCCATCTCTTCCTTTGTGAATGCAACCTTTGGGCCTTTGGGCAGGTTATTGAAGCTTAACTTCGCCACTTTTTTTCGAAAAATCATCAAACAGTGATGTTCACAGTCACGACTCCATTTTTTGGGGGAAACTTCGGCTTCCCATCCCCCCCTTTCTTTTGTCCCTGCTATTGTTGGCTCATTGAGATCCCCCGAAAGGTATTCCCCAGCAACTTCTCACGACGATCACATACCAATTTTACGCTTTTTTTCAACCCACAGAGGGTTACCATGTGAATTTGTAGCACATGTCAAATGTCCGATCATTTGGACGGCACAAAGTCAAGTGCGAATTTGTTCATTCTAAACCTGAGCATTTCCCATGATTGTTTGCTGAGACCATCATAAATCTCCATTCCTGGTTGTTCCAATCAACAAAAATGCTGGGTCAACCCTTTGTTTCCTGGTCAAATCTTTATTTTTGGCTAGGTGAACTACCAATTTTGATATCACTAGTTGGATATACCATGTCTACCCAACAGTTCAAGCTAATAAATAATCCAATTTGATCCCATTTAAGGCCATATCATCACTGCTTGGTGGTGTGGAACATGTTTCTCCATTCAGTTGGGAATATCATCATCCCAACTGACTTTCATATATCTTTCTCAATCCACTGTTATGTTGAGCAAGTCATATCTATAAATCCTATATATTTAATAAATAAATATATATATATATATACTTGGCCATATTTGATCAACAGTTCAAGCTACTTATAAATAAACCAATTTGATCATATTTGGCCATATTATCATATATTATCATTGGGGATATATATATATATATGTATACATACATATATATATATATATACATAAATATAACATTAATATAATATATGTATCATATAATAGTGTATTTGGATATACCCATAGGTATACTATCCACTGTTGTTCTGTTGAGCAAATCCCGCTGGTGAATTGCTGGTGAAGGTGGAGACCAGCGGCTTCCTGTCCCGCCTGGGGTCTGCAATGACTTCCTTGTGGAGTAGCCAGGTGCAGGTGAGGCGGCGACAGGTTGCTGGGCTTCTTTTTAACCCACGACAATGGGAAATCAACGGGAGATGAATGGGAAATGAATGGGAAATGGATGGGAAATGAATGGGAAATGAATGGAATTGATTCGGCAAAACTTGATATTGAAGGTCTTAAGATGTGTCAACGTCAACGATTTGGTCGTCAACCATGGTTCTCTGATGGGTTTTCTGAGATGTGATTTTCCTCCCACTATCTTTGGAGACGGTTGGATTGCCTGAGCAAGAAACACATTGTCAGGGGTATAGCAACCCCGCAGAAAACAAATACAAACTACTAATGTTCCCTCAAAATAGTGATGAAGTGTTACAATTTCTATCTTTTTGTGGTTGTCGTAGTTCATTGAAATTATGAAATGTCTATAGTAAGCCCTCAAAAAATAGAGATTGACATACTAGGGGTATTCAATCAAATGTCTATCTTTTATGGGGGGTGCTATATATTTGGGCACGAGCATCCAAAGGAGCGAGTTGAGTAACGTGATGATCATGTGGGCTGGGACGCAACGTTGGTGAAAGTTTTCAAGATTCTTTTGATAAGCCACGGAGTCAAATGCGTTGGGATCAACAGTTTTTTACCAACCATATTTTTGTCAGCTAAAATCTACCTGGGATTTTACAAAGAGATGTCCTGGCAGTTTTTGGTGCCGATGGCCCACGGTTGGCCTCCAAAAGTCACATCCCCATGAACCGGACGACTTAGCATCAGATGAACCTATTGGGATTAGGAGTTTCAATCGGATTTATATCTCTTGTTGATATGCAGATTATGCAGGTTTTAGACCGACAGGGGATATAACATGATATAACATCGAGGCTTGACATTCATCATCAAACCTCATCTATAATCATGTATCAGTTATATGATATAACTTATACATGATTATAAATGAGGTTTGATGATGAATGTCAAGCCTGGAGGAAGATTTACCCTGGTTGATTCAGACTATTTGGTGTTGCCCCCAATTTTTGTGGTGAACTGGCTGGTACTCGGATGGTCCCCCGATCAGCAGGATTATCTCTGAAGGTGCTCTGAAGTGATTCCCCAAAGTATGGTTGTGCCTAACCATAAACCCTGGGCTTGATCGTGAGAAAACAGCAGCAGAAGCAGCTCGCTTCGCAGGGAGACTTGCAGCGAGTCAGAAAGTTCTTCCATTGCATCCCATTGTCCAAATGATTTTTCATCGGGAAGTCATCTTTGGAAGTCATTGATTCGCTGAAGTTACCTTCACAGCTCAATTTGGGTGCAAAAGTTGATCTTCCTCACCTGATGGTGATGGCGGTCCCGCGACAACATCCAGTCGTTTCATGGCTCAGTTGCTAATCAGTGGCTGATCTGTCCCCGTGTTGGTTGATGATTTTAGAGGTGGAGACTACGGTATCCCGGTATCCCTATCCATAAACTGGAAATCCCTATGAACCATCTGAATTGAATGGAAGACTTGGACCACTGCTCAAACTGCTCAAATCACTTGAGATTTACTAGCAGCATACGTATAGAAATCTTTGCCATCCATCCATTTATGAGAGGCCCCATAATAGTCCGTTGATGGATTTGTGTTCAAAAAAAAACATTAGATTATTGATCTCTATAAATCTTCGTTTTTTTTGCTTACAAACAAAAAACATTAGATTGCAAACTTTGAATGATAGTCAGCATTGAGCATCATTCAAATCATCACTTCCAATGACTAACCGATTGACCAACCCTGCAAATGTAAGCTATGGATATGGGTCAAATTTTGGTACCAATGGACCCCCCCAAAACATGCTAGTTTGAGCCATAGCCCCACATAATGTCAGCTCTTAATGAAGAAAGCCTACTTCATTAGGGCAGCTGAACATAGATTAAGTCCAAACAATCTGAATCCACATCGCCCAACATTAATATCTCGTTGGTGGTTTCAAACATGTTTTATGTTCCATGATTCCATTTCATATATGGGATGTCATCCCCTTCCCATTGACGAACTCACTCCATCATTTTTCAAGATGGTTGTTGCTTGCACCAGCAACCAGGTTATTATTAACCATCATTAACCATATAATAACCATCATCATTAACCATGAAATTAGCAGTATATTAACCACCAACCAGCCATCAATTGCACCAGCAACCAGATATCCTTCCCATCCTATAGGTCCACTTGCTTCTCATGAGATCCCCAAGCAATGGATTGCTACATCCCGAAAAAAAAAACCTTCAACACACGACTGGTGTGTTTGTCTACCATTACTACCATGAACCCAATGAGTGAATCAAATATATGCAACTTTTTGGTCCGACTCTGACAGAAGAACGATCAATCCCTGCTGATCAGCCTTAAATCCCGTTTTCAACCAGCCTTTTTCATGGCCCAGTTCTGTTGCAGTGCCATGGAAATCACCACGACACGAAAGGGTCCACGATCACCGGGTCCCGACCGGGTCCCGGTCTCTCATCGCCAGACGCCGGCCTTGGTGAGCGCTGCGGGCGCATCGCATTTGGCCAACCAGAGCATTCAGAGCGAGGCGCGGCATGGCGCGGCTGGGGAGCATGGGAGCAAAAGAGGATGGGTGAGATCGTCGATGAGAGACTATAGTAATATAGATGACTATAACAATGATATACATATATATATATATAATAATGATATATTATAATAATGATGATATATAACTATATAACATATAACAATGATGATATATAACATATATAATATGAGTAACTATAGATATGTTACAATATGATTATGATTATAGTTATAACTATTTGGAACATATATTATAGATATCATCTAATGGTAACAATGATGATAAGTAATTATATTTATAATAGTAACATGTGTTGGAACTATAGTAACATGACTATTAGTAATATAGATCATGTAGTAATGTCAAGCCCAGATTAATCAACCATGGTTTATGAAGTAAGGGGGTACTCCTCCAATAGTCATCTGATACTTAAATGGTACCCTCCCAAGTAAACAGCCTAGGGGTTATTAATCCAGGGTTGACATTAACAGTGATGATAACTATAATTAAAGTAGTAACATGTGTTAGAACTATAGTAATATAGTAGTATTTTCATGAATATTACTAGCATAATATAATATAATATAATACAATACAATATAATGTAATGTTATAATGTAATGTAATATATAGTAACGTTTGTTAGAACATGTCATTGTTGTTGATGAACTGATGAACTATTACTATGTATATATATATATATATTACTACGTGTTATCATCCTTATGGTAATAATGAGGATGGCTGAGTTTTTGTTGAGGAGGTACAATTTAATGAGTGATTGAGTGAGTTTTTTTGGGATAGGCAATGAGATACAATGGGTGAGTTCTTTGGGGATATATATATATATACTTATATACATATTATATAAAGTGGGAAAACCATTAAACATAACCTACCATTTGGGGATGGTTTATGTGTTCATACCGTCAATGTATGCTCATTTTGGGGATGCTTTATAGTTGGGTTTCCCACATTATAACTATAGCAATCGTAAAAAGATAGAGAAAAGTAGGAAACCTGAAAAATATGGAGAAACTCTTACCTATCATTATAACATCACCATTTCTGTAGGTTAAATCCCACCCAAATCACATTAAATTCAATTAAATCCCATTAAATCATCATAGAATCACAATAAATTCCCATTCAATCACATTAACAAATTAAAATCCCATCAAAAATCACCATTTCCAACCAATTTCAATCACTGTCCTCGCTGCAACATATCCACAGCTCACTTTGACACGTCGCCAGCGCCAGGACGATGTCCTACACACGTCCGACTCGCTCAGGGGATCTGGGGAAAAACGGAGAAACCTTTGGGAAATTTTGAAAAACACATCGGTATGGTATTTCCACATTCATGTGTATATATATATACACAAAATACACACACAAATATACAATATATTCTACATTATAATCTGCAAATCTGAAAAACACATTATATATATATATACCTTCATATGGTATTCTACAAATTAAATAAATCATTTTTGTTATACACGATATGTATATGTATATATAATTATACACACACTTTTGAATGAACCATATGAATGTGCTATTGGCAAACGCGTGGATTTGCATTGGATATCAATGGAGTATCACATCCACATATATATATATATATACACTCCTTGTCTACATGACGACAAAAAAAAATGGATTGACCAGTCAATGTCGTGAGGGTACCTATGCTCGCGTAGAATCGGGCTCGGCAAACAGACCAAGGATTTGTTCATAGGCTACATGCCCCCCAAACCCACATATCCCACATGCTATCATCGGATTCCCCATGAAAATTACAATGTTGTTGGATATTCACAATTTTCGAGGTCAAAACCCCATCTTGTTTGTGGCACCATTGAAGCGCTGAACGCTCCAGCTTGCTGTTGCTGTTTCTCAGCCGGATCCATGGTGCATTGTCCAGAAGAGGCAGAAAGAACTGGAATGGGAGTACTGGAAGCACGAGGCTTGTCCCGCCCTGCATCCCAACATATCCCAACATTCACTTCACGGCAACGCGATGCAACGCGTCACTTGTCGATAGATGAACCTGAAAGCTGAACAGGAAGCAGAGGCTCGCCCCATCACTGATTTTTCGGAGTGCAGATTCCAGATTGTTTGTCTTCCTTGTATGAATCTAGGGCAGTTCATAGTATATTAGGAATGATATCATATAAAAATATGTATTGATATTGTATATATGACAATATATGACAATTTAATTTACAAGAAACGCGGATGAAATTCAAGTGCACTAACTGTCAACGACCCCTCGTGACGACCTTGTGGATTCTCTTTTTGAGCCGTAGCTGCAGAGTAGATCTGTACATTAAAAAGGGACATGCACGGATCCTAAAAGTGGTTCGTGTTTTTGATTGGGAGTTATAATCGCGGAAATTGATTAGTTGCTCGAGAACACAATCATTTGTTTTTTTTCTGGATGTGATACGAAGTTATCATAACACAAAAGCTGGGATAATAACATACCATAACTGGATAAGACTTGGATAACACTAATCATAGGCAAGTATTATGATTATATGTTTGAACATCAGTCTTATCCAAAATTAGTGTAACAACATATGGCCCAAATCATCCAAGTCATGGATGACCATGACTTAGTATTGAAACAACCAACAATGGTGACGACTGGGATCCCCCATGACTTAAGGAAACGCCCAGCAGATCAGCATCACCTGGCGGTTCACAAATTGGGGACTTGCGGATCCCACACAACTTAAGAACCTTCCATATCACCACGATCAACAATCATGAAGCATTATTATCCATTAACCATAGATTAACCATATATTAACTATAGATTAACTATAGATTAACCATTAATCATTCATTATTATCCATGGTTAACCATCTATAATTAATTTTCCATTAACTATAGATTAACCGTGGATTAAGCATAGGTTATCAGATTAACCACTATTCATCTTTGTCCCTACTATCCCGTGATCAGCTGCAAGGCCAGACCTTCCCAGCTTTGGCAAACAGCTGAGCCAGGCGTGTTTTTTTTCTGCAGCGGAAGTCCGGGGATTCAACGGAAAAAAAGGATATAACTTTTTTTCCTCATATATTCTATATACTATTATATACTTATATTTAAAAAATGGCAATAGTGAAAACAAAATAATATGATAAAAGTATGTGTTAAAATCGAATTCCGAAAGAAATGCTTCAATTTCAATGGTGTTTTTTTTCAAAAAACAGCAGCAATGGTGAACCTTGCAAGGTTAGCTGTTGAGTGAATAGTAGATATATCAGTACATATCAAACTAGTTTTCAGTCATGGGATTAACTATGGCTTAACAGCATCAAATATGGGGATGTAACCAGTGTAAATCGAGATTTACAGTTGATTCATGGTAGCTGTTGGGTTTCATTATGGCTAACTGGGTTTATAAACCAACTGACATAGCAGGGGTGATCCTCATTTTGAGGTTACTGCAAAATTGAGGATATTCTGCAGCACCAAGGCTAGGTTCGTCATAAACATCAGCATCCTACAAGCAAGCAGATTATACCAGTAGGATCCTGGCAGCAGTAATTAGCCTTCAGCAAAAATGGGTAGATTAATTTACACCCAAAGCTGTGTAGCTGTTCAAATCATTGATGTCGGCGAGTCGCACAGCAACGAACATTGAGCCCGTGACCCCATGCAACTTCCCGACGTTCTATTTCCATCTATTTCACAATAATGCTAGATACCTTCTGGGTAAATTATAATGACCTCACTGTTCTCCCTCACTGGAATCATGCGTATTACTAAGCGGAATCATCCTGGTATATCCCGGTTAGTGAATTATTCTGGTTGGTGGTTTGGAACATTTGGATTATTTTTTCCATATATTGGGACTGTCATCATCCCATCTGACGAACTCCATGATTTTTCAGAGGGGTTGGTTGAAACCACCAACCAGATAATTATTAACCATCATTAACCATATAATAACCATCATCATTAACCATTATTAACAGTATATTAACAACATATTAACCAGAATAATGCTATACCCACCGTATCTTTGAGGAATTCCCTGGTCAAATCTTGAGAAAATCGGCGCAGCCTCCGCAGTCTCGTCGCGATTTTCGTCGAGAGAGATTCTCCAAAAATCCAATCACCAAAAATCCCATTTTTTGAGACCCTCTGGTTATGACTAACATAGCCATGGTATAGATGGCCCATAGAAATAGATGGTTTACCTATTAAAAATGGGTGGATCTTTCCATGGCGAATTGTTAAATAACCAGATGGTAAACCAACTGGCATAGTTTTCCCATCATATTCCCATGATATTCCCTTGCGAGTCACCATGTTCTCATCTGCCTTCATCTGCCTTGCCCGCCGCTGGGTTCGCCACAGGCTGAATCGGAAGAGTTGCTGTCCTTTCTCACCGTGCCCACCGGGTGGACGGTCCAAAATAGCTGGGATAGTGATGGTCAATAGTGGCTTTTTGAGGGGTAGGTATACCACCAACCAGGTGATGTAGTGATATGATGGTTAATAGTGGTTAATAGGTATATTGGGGGACTATCAAGAATAGTGATGGTTAATAGTGGTTTTCATAGGCTCTAAACCAACAACAGGAATATGATGGTGATCTGGTGGTTTGGAACATATGTTCTGATTCCGACGCGGAGCAACGTAGGGGTTGCAGCGAACATGTTTTATGACTTTCCTTATATTGGGAATAATAACCCCAAATGACTTTCATATTTTTCAGTGGGGTGGCTCAACCACCAACCAGTTAGGAGACTATCAAGAAAACACTAGGGGAATTCTTCAGGTTCGCATGATGGGTACATTCTTCCATTTTTCGAGGTACTTGGAGAGTGGTAATATGACAACCAAGAAAATGTGGGATTGAATGGAATGATAGAACTGAAAGAACTGATAGAACTGATAATAAAACCAACGAACATGAATATATTACTATATATTAAATAATGAACAATCAACAAAAATGAACATATTACGATATATGATATTGTGTTCAAGCACAGGCGAGCACCCATCTCTCTTGGGCCGCGCTGCAGGAATGGTTGGTTCAACTTTATGCCATGGCCTGGGTTGAATTTGGCCAAAGAATGGTTAATAAAGTCACTAGTGATGGTTAGTAGTGATGGTTCATTTCAAGGCCTGGGTTGATAAGATACCCTGATTTTGGCCAAAGAATCAACCATGACCAATAATCAACTTTCTGCCATGGCCAAAGAGTATCTTTATTTAATCATTCTACTCTTGGCCCAGCGCCCATTCCCGCTATACCTATGTAGTAGATTTAAAAAAACGTATTGGTATTGGATGGTATTGGTACCCAAGTGTTCAGCAATCACCAGATGTGCCGTTGCTTGAATCGAGCAGTTTTCCTGGTTCAACCTATTTTGGTTTGTCGAAAATTTCTTTTTCAGTAATACCCATGGTAAACCCACCATACCTAGACCCTCCAAGTACCTCGAAAAATGGGATAATACCTTGGAATAGCCAATATGACGTGGGACTACCAATTTTCGTAGGTACTTGGGCGGTCTAAAAAATTGTTTTATAAATCTCATCCCATCCCATCGGAAATCAGGTACCCTACCTGCGCGTGCCCTTGCTGCTGCAGTTCTTCAACAACCGGAAACGCTTCACAGCCCTGAACCATCCTCAACTGCAGGCGATAGCGGCGATAGCGACGGTACCAACAGCGAAACACAACAGGAAGTGAACACCATCCATACAATGATTACAATGGGTACAATACTTTACATATCGGATAGAATGTTTTTTTTTTTGGCGGTTTTATAACGGTGTAATACTTGTGCAACGCTGGTAATTGCATACATAATGGTATAATACTGTTGATTTATTGAGGTTGGGATTATTGTTGATGATTGTCGGTTCAGAAGTTGCGGGAACCAATCCAATGGGGGGTGAAACATCAACCATACTGGTGGTACAATTGGGATATAGTCTGGATGACTTTGATAACCATGACCTCAATGCTGGTCGCATGACAGTTATATCATTGTGTTCAGGTTATTGAACTATTATATTTCGGCCAGACATATGATTTTTGGGGATTTCGATCCCTAAACTCACAACATTTCGATTTGGATCGTTTGGGTGTTGTAATTCGGGCTGAACAAGCAAAAATGCAGGATTTTGTGGGTCAATTGGCCAAAACATGATGGTGGTTTCCTGTTTTTTTTGTGCAACAACAAAGTGCAGGAACAATGGTTGGTATCCACAAGGTATTTACAAATATGGGTCCTGGCAAGGCGTGGTAAGGCACTGGTGAAAGCTCGCATGACCTGTGTTGAAATTTGCCCCATCTACATCTGGTTCGGCGCCGATTGTCAGCAACCCCCAGGGATCTAGCCCCATCAGCCCCATCCATATCTCAGGTATCACCATTTAGCATCGGTAAATCAACTTGTTGGCAATTTTCAATAGCAAACTGTTGGAGTTGGAGGTTTCCTAAAATAGGGCTACCCCCAGTCATCATCCAATTTTAGATTGGGATTTTCCATCATAAACCATCCAGCTATTGGGTACCCCCATTTATGGAAACCCCATATCATCCATATATCATCCTATATGATGTTTTTGATAAATGGAAATAGATATAATGGTCACATACCCCCATTTATGGAACCCCCCATGGCAGTTAGTTTACCAGGGTAAACCAGCAGAAATTCAACTATAGGTTCACTTCGCCAGGCCATGCTGGACGCGGTTCTCTTTGAACCTGGAGCCTTTGAGGAGCAGACGACGGCGTCGCTCGGGGCTAACTAGCGCGCCACGTTAATGACAACGGAAAGGGCTGCCGGTGAGGTCCGAGTTTCGGCGAAACAAAAAGGTTGGAGAAGCAGAATGACAAGTCAACTACTATCGCTTGACTAAGTATTAATAGTTGATAAGAAACTTTAAGAAACTATTGACAGCCATTATTAGTTTCTATGAATGTTTGATAAGTAACTGTCAATATTTAGTCAGTCAACTGTAATTCATAATAAGTATATATCACCATATTATAGTTAATAGTGTCTTAATTAATAGGTTCATCGTTGTGTAATTAATAGCTACCACATCTTAGGCCCTATAGTTGTTATTCATTATTTAACATATTTACTATCACAGTGACTGCTTAATCAATAGTGACAACATGTTCGATACGATGTGATCTACTACGATATGATAGTCACCATGATCTATTGTTGTTTTTATTTTTTTCTGCTGTTGCCATATTATATTGTCATTAAAGCTCTAATGTGTTTTGAACATATGATTCAGAGAGTTGTTGTCCTTTTCCCAAACTCTGAGACAATTACCCGTCAAAATGGTTACTTAATTGGGAAGGTGATGATTAACCGCTTTGGATTCGGAGCATAGCCCATTGTCGGAAAGGGCAATATCCGTGTTTGTGCTGACGTGTCAGTAGCGACGGTGAGAAAATGGAATGGTGTTCATGCTGTTGATGCATGCTGTTTGATTATGTCTAATACATTTTCTCGAAAAGCAAAGAATACGTGAGGGCGGTTTGGGTGCCTTGCCAGTTTGTCATGTCTTCACATTGTTTTATTGTACAACGCATCTCAAACATATTTTAATATTATATCTTAAGATCGTTTTCAAACCGGTGTTTTTGTTACAACAGAACACATGTTTTGTTTTTATTGATAGTAACATGCAATACATCTTTGTTGGGTTCAAGTACCTTCAAATAATGAAATTTGATATATCAATCAATCATCAATTTACAAACTGTTTGGTAAACAAAAACACATGGATGAAACATATGTTTCATGCACTTCTCGATGCCTAAAGTGTGTCGAGAAATAAAAGAACAATGGTAATAACATGTAATAAATATGGGGATGGGTCAAAACCCTGTACCCCTTCTGTTCACCCCAAAATAGCTGGGATTTATGGATGTTCATTCCCCTAAAAATGCTATTAATTTATTAATAGGTATTGATCCATAGCCATATCCCCTTTTTTTTGATGCATTCTAGATGGTTCAATAACCACTGAGTTCCCAACTCTCATTTAACCATATTTAACCCCAAATTGCTGCTTGTATATCAGTACATGTTCTTAATTCCCTGTGACACGACAAAATGGAACTACACGGACTAATTTCGAGGTCGCCGCGACAGAGATTTGACATTCATGTGCGTTGGCGGAAGCGCGTTATAAAGGACAGTGACCTGAAAACATAGGTGAACCGTCCCCAAAATACTCATAGTGATATGTTGTTTCACGTTTGAAGTTGAGTTATTGATAGTTATTGTCTCGAAATCGAAAATTATTTGCGAAGTATGATCAAAACTCCCAAAGCAAAAAAAATATTGTGTACATGAGTGTGTTTGAAAACTATGTCTACACCCAAATCCCAAACTTAAGAGGGAAAATGATGTTAGACGCCGGGATTTTGGTGGTTGCCCCTCAATGGTCAAACAAAACCTTAAATGGTTTATCATATTTTACTCGGTTGCTGGTCTGAATGATGTTTTTATCAAGTTCTTGTTTTCAGGATTCGACCATGTTTGATGGTTTATTTCATGCCTTATCAACAATGTGTGTTGTCTCATGTCTAATCTCAATGATGTATTATACCCCTTAGGATGACCATATGACCGAAGCGCCAACATCCTTTAAAACGACCAAAAAGGTCGACAGCTTGTCCTGACACCGTCTATCCTGGCCTCATGCAGTGGTCGTCTCAACGGGAAGGTAGAATCAGAGCGGCAATCTACCCTTGTTGATGAGTTGCTTGGTTTTTCTTTAGTGATTTAGATAGTGATTTAGATACGTAAGTGGTTTAAATAGTGATTTATGGTGATCTATAGTAATTGATAGTGATTTATCGGAACAATTACTGACTGGTTTTATATTGGTACCCCTGTTGATGATTAGTTCGGAGATTATCCAGCTGAATGGATGGTTATTCAATGGTGCTCAGCCCTGTTGAGAAATCCTCATGTTTAGCTCGAGTTTTCTGGAGACCAAAAGCAGGGCAGCGACATATGGGAAGTCAAAATTCATCAAAACCAAAGAAACATGGGGAATATATACCATCTTATATACCAGCATTTACCTGTACCTGGACCCTCGAAATTCATAAAGGTATATAAAGGTCCCAAGTCACAATGGGTATATTACAGTACTGGGTCCCGTACTCGTATATACATATATAATATTGTTTCATTTTTCTAGATCCTTGGAGGGTTTAGGTATGAAATGATTGAACCTTTCTCCAAAACAAAGAAGAGATGCGGCGCGACCCCAACGTGTTTTTTACCCAATGCCACCATTTTTTGGGATTTGGGGATGGTTTCTGACTTGGGGACGGTGCAGATGGCATTGGGTAAAAACCGGTATACCATCAACAACTGGTTGGTGGTGACTGGAACATGACTGGATTATGACTTTCCAGAAACAGTTGGGAATGGAATCATCATCCCAACTGACGAAGTCCATCATTGTTCAGAGGGGTTGGTTGAAACCACCACCCAGGCATGGTGTCCATTGGCGAATCTAAAACCATTCCTCTGCTATGCACTCCCCAGAGACTGAAAAAAACCAGTTGCGCCTGAGACACCGTGATTGCAAGATTGATTGCTTAGACACCCCAGAAAACTGCAATCTCGAGATTCCCAGTATCAGTTGATCCCTGAGAGTTGCTTTCCACAAGATTGTTGATCATGGTCAAAACATCATGCTTGATCATAAGTTTAAGCATTCTGAATGGCCATGAGATATCACAAGATATCACATTGATTCAGTTGACGAACATCTCCACTAAATCCAACCAGATATCCACATTTACCATGAAATATGTCATTTTGTGGGATGTCATGGTAGTTATCCCTTTGGTAATTTAACATAGCTATTGAACATGGCCATAGAAATAGTGGAATTACCCATTGAAAATGGTGATTTTCCATAGCTATGTTAAATTACCAGAGGGTATCCCACTATTTCACTACATCTCATGGATTTTTTATCCGTAATTTACTGGGATTTCCTGTGATCAGCGGTGTTTTTGATCGGTGTCTTTCCTCCAGGTCGGCTCAGGGAGCCCAGTTGTTGACCACGCCTGCGGGGCGACTGGTACATGCTCCTTGGTGCGATGGCGGAGGGTTCAGAAAAACGACCCGGCCTGGTAAAGATACAAAAAGCTATTGGGTTATGATTGTTAATAGTGGTTAATAGTGGTTAATAGTGGTTAATAGTGGTTAATAGTGGTTTTTCCCGAGAGCGTCTGAGCGCAGGGTTCTTCCAATAGTGGGGGTCTGTATCTCATCTTCTCATTTTCACATCTTCTCATCTTCACATCTGCTCATCTTCACATCTGCTCCTCTTCACATCTGCTCATCTTCACATCTGCTCATCTTCACATCTGCTCCTCTTCACATCTGTCTTCACATCTGCTCCTCTTCACATCTGCTCATCTTCACATCTGCTCCTCTTCACATCTGCTCATCTTCACATCTGCTCATCTTCACATCTGCTCCTCTTCACATCTGTCTTCACATCTGCTCCTCTTCACATCTGCTCATCTTCACATCTTCTCATCTTCACACCTTCTCATCTTCACATCTGCTCTTCTTCACATCTCATCTTCACACCTTCTCATCTTCACACCTTCTCATCTTCACATCTGCTCATCTTCACATCTGCTGCTCTTCTTCACATCTCCTCTTCACACCTTCTCATCTTCTCTCCTTTCTCTCTCCCTTTTCTCTCTCTCGCCTTCTTTATCTCTTTAGGCCGAGGGTGGTGCCGGCGGGGAGTCACGAAACGTCAACCCTTTCGCACGAAATGAGGGTCGATCGTCAAAAACTGAAGAAAATTGCGCTTTTACTTGTCCCCGAGCAACCCTTTCGCACGAAATGAGGGTCGATCGTCAAAAACTGAGGAAAAAATGCGATTTTACTTATCCCCGAGCAACCCTTTCGCACGAAATGAGGGTCGATGCGCAAAAACTGAGGAAAAAATCCGATTTTACTTGTCCCCGAGCAACCCTTTCGCACGAAATGAGGGTCGATGCGCAAAAACTGCGGTAAAATTGTGATTTTACTTGTGCCGGACTTGTCTGTGTGTAAAAGCGTCTGTGCGCAAAAGCGTCTGTGTGTAAGAGTCTCTGTGTGTAAAAGTGTTTGTGTGTAAAAGTGTTTGTGTGTAAAAGCGTCTGTGTGTAAAAGCGTCTGTGTGTAAAAGCGTCTGTGTGTAAAAGCGTCTGTGTGTAAAAGTCTCTGTGTGTAAAACCGTCTGCGATGTCTGTGTGTAAAAGCGTCTGTGTGTAAAAGAGCCTGTGTGTAAAAAGCGTCTGTGTGTAAAAGTGTTTGTGTGTAAAAGTGTTTGTGTGTAAAAGTGTTTGTGTGTAAAAGCCTCTGTGTGTAAAAGCTTCTGTGTGTAAAAGCGTCTGTGTGTGTAAAAGCGTCTGTGTGTAAAAGTGTTTGTGTGTAATAAAAGCGTCTGTGTGTAAAAGCGTCTGTGTGTAAAAGCGTACGTGTGTAAAAGCGTCTGTGTGTAAAAGTCTCTGTGTGTAAAAGTCTCTGTGTGCAAAAGCGTCTGTCTGTAAAAAGTTCTGTGTATGAAAAACTTTACAAAAATACGATGCAAACTATTGTCTTGTACTAGTCATATATTGTCTTGATACTACTCTTCTCGTCTGCCTATAATACATCTTTAATATATTATCTTGTAATATAGTGTCTCCATACTAACAACAGAAGACTCTGCTCCTCTACGCTCTCGGGCCATCCGTCGTCTAGTTATAGTGGTTTTCATAGTGGTTTTCATAGGGTATAAACCAACAACAATGGGAATA